TGAATTTATAGGTATAGGTATAACATATATGCTGCCAAAAACCGCACACTCACCACAGCCTTCTCAATACAGATCCATCACATGCTTACCTACTATATACAAAATTCTTACATCAGCAATAGCCTACAAAATTAATATGCACATTTAACACAATCACATAATAGCAGAAGAACAAAAGGGATGCAGGCGGGGACACATGGGATGCAAGGAACAGCTGATCATAGACTCTACTATCCATAAACATGCTACTACAAAAAACAGAAACTTACACTGCACTTACATAGATTATAAGAAAGCGTTTGACAGCATCCCACATTCTTGGCTTATAAAAATTTTACACATCTATAAAATTAACCCTAAAATCATAGATTTTATGCGCGATATTATGAGTAATTGGAAAACTACATTACATCTAAAGATGAATGATAGAACAGTCACGACCCGACAAATCTCTATAAAAAAAGGTATATATCAAGGTGATTCCCTGAGCCCCTTGTGGTTCTGTCTGGCCTTGAATCCCTTGTCTCAATTGCTGCAGCGATGTCAGGCAGGATATCGTCTGAGGAATTCTACAGAAGAAACTATTATCTCTCATCTCATATACATGGACGATATTAAACTTTATGCAAAATCCGATAAAGAAATGACAAAACTTTTAGAAAATACAACAAAGTTCAGTAAAGACATAAATATGGAATTTGGACTGGATAAGTGTAAAACATTACACATAATCAGAGAAAAAATACGCCCTGGGGACTACGCAGTGGATGAATCAAGTACGATAGCAGCTATGGAGTCAACAGATTTATACAAATATTTAGGTTATAAACAACTTAAAGGGCTGGATCACACCTCCATCAAACAAATATTAGCTACTGAATATAAAAGTCGAACTAACACTTTATGCAAAACCCAACTTTCTGCTAAAAATCTTATAAAAGCATTAAACACATACGCTATTCCAATATTAACCTACTCATTTGGCATTATAAAATGGACAAAAACTGACATAGAGCAAATAGAACGAACTACACGCACTACATTAACCAAACACAATAACCTACACCCTAAATCCGCCATAGAAAGACTTACTATCAAAAGAGAAAATGGTGGCAGGGGCCTAATAGATATTTATCATCTTTGGCAAAAACAAGTTTATAATCTATTCTTTCACACAAAATCACACACGAGTAACATCCATAAAGCCATAACTCTAAACGACTACAATTTCACACCACTAAACTTAAATGATCACACTGGAATACACAACCCTAATAACATAGACCCACAGGTAGACAAAATAGAAAACTGGAAGAAAAAGGCACTACATGGAAGACACCCTCAAGATTTAGAGCAGCCCCACATTGATACAATAGCATCAAACTCATGGCTTAAAATTGGTAACCTATTTCCAGAAACAGAGGGATTTATAATAGCCATACAAGACCAAATAATTAATACGAAAAATTATAGAAAATATATAATCAAAGATGCATCCGTCACAGATGATAAGTGCCGAAAATGCCACATTCAATCTGAAACCATTCAACACATTACTGGAGCATGCATTACCCTCACACAAACGGATTACACACATAAACATAACCAAATAACTAACATCATCCACCAAAAATTAGCACTCAAACATCATCTTATACAAAACACAAACACACCTTACTACAATTATACTCCTCAATCTGTATTAGAAAGTAGCTCACACAAACTTTACTACGACCGCGCCATCCTCACAGATAGAACCATCCACTATAACAGACCAGACATAACCCTACAAGACAAAATTAACAAAACCACCTACCTAATTGATATTGCAGTACCGAATATACACAATCTACAGAAAACCATCACAGAAAAAATTAGCAAATACACAGAACTAAAAGAAGAAATAATACGAATCTGGAGACAGGAGAAAGTTTACATAGTACCCATAGTTCTATCTACAACAGGAGTTATACCTAAACATCTTCACCATAGCCTTAAATTAATCAATTTAAATGAATCCGTGTATTTTAACCTACAGAAAGCAGCAATATTAAACACTTGCCGAACAGTCAGAAAGTTCATGGATATTGAAGAGAACGGAACAGCACAACACACACAGCAACCACCATCTACATCTACATAACAAAGACACACACCTCACTGTATTTACTTGGTTTTGGCCCGTAAATACAGTTGAAACCAGCCTTGAGCTGAGAAAAATTAAGATTACAATAATAATAAAACTTTATTGCGATTACACCATATATATATATATATATATATATATATATATGGTGTAAAGTATATTTAAATCACGTTTTTACACTTGTCATGCCGTCAAAATAAACCTGAAGTTTTAAACCTAATGACAATAAACATTTATCGAAAGGACTAAAAAATAACTAATTATTTTAATTATCTATATTCTTAACTTAATATCCCGGTAATAAAAAAGTTTGGTTACTCTATTTTCGTGACTCCCGTTGTTCACGCTTTTATACTGGTAGTAGAAAATAAAGGTTTGATGCTCATTAATTAGCTTGCACTATTATATATATATATATATGTATATAAAACACTGATTTAAGCGACGTTCATGCATATGTGGGCGTTGTCGCGGCTGCCCACTAGGGAAGAGAAAATAGGACATTAAACCGACCAAAGCCGTTGGCCAAATGCTAGTACGATAATTTAAAAAAAATACCACTGTAGCAATATGTACGAATGCACAGATTTATTTTTCCACATACTCACCAATACAAAATGCGCGCTTTGACGCAGATTTGCAGTCAACAGCCCGTGTAAATCTAACCTAACCTATAGATTTATTTTATATAGATGTGGTTGAATGCTACGATTTGGTTTTAAATGGATGCAAAATAGAGCGTTTGGACGAAAATATTATTAACATTTTGCTCTTTTCACGTTGGATATTCAAACACTATCAGAGCAGTTATTTGACACAGGACTTTTGAGTTGCAGGTGCAGGTTGCAGGTGATAGTTGCTTACCATTACCCGTCTGCTCGTTTGCCCCCCTTATACAATAAAAAAAAATACATTAAATGTTTTAGTTTGTTTGTAAAATGTTACATAAATATTTTATAAATTTTATATTTACATTAGAGTCCTCTGTTGTGCGCTAAAACTTTTCAAACATTAGGCTTATAGTAAATTTAGGTAGCTTATGCAATTTTCGATCTTTTTATTGAGGCAATCTCTTTTACGGAACTTTGGATAGAAAAACGATTTAAAGGTAATTATAGTGTAAAACAAGAATTATATGTTTTAGGTAAATGTCAGAATTGCACACAGGTTGTCACACCGAATGTTGTAGGCTTATAATATGAAAACCTCTCAAGATTCAACCCACCGTCACGTCCCCTAGGGCTACCCTTTCAGTAATGACTCCATGATGGTAGTCTCGTCGCTCTTATGTCGCTTATTTCTTCGGTCATAACTCACATCAGGGTGACCACGTCAAAAATAAACAATGTTGGATAAAAAGTACAACAGTACTTTTTTATTTATTTCAATGATTTTTACGTTTAAAAATTATAGTCATGAGACGAAGTAATACTAATACGAATATGTTAGATCACATCATATCAACAGCCTTAAATAGTCCACTGCTGGACATAGGCCTCTCCTTCGAAAGGAGGTTTTGCCCTATTATACCACGCTGGCCAGACGGGTTGGTATAGGGTTTGTTTCAAGTTTTCCTTCTCTTTGCAGTACTGTGGTCCTGCGTAGTTTGCTCCCTTAGTCGGCTCTCACGACACCCAAGGGATGAATAGGGGTGGTGACACTCCGTATTCTTAATCCGTCACCACACGGAGCGTATAACGTATATAGTGAATATATTAATATTAAAAATGTTTGTCACGTAGTATGTTTTATGATTCTCATAAAGCTCTGTTAATGCACGTAAGTTTTACACAGATTTCTCTGTAGAACTTATATACCTTAAAAGTAAGCCGGTTAGTCGACATTTTAATTCAAAAACTCTTTAACTATCTTGTCGCCAATTCGTTGGGTGAGATTGGAATATGTACACATGTCCTTAAAACTTGAAATATTTGGTTACAATAAATGTGCTAAAAGTTAAGCTACTTGGAGAAATTCACAAAATTTTCACGCTCCAAACTTCTACGTCCCATGCTCTAATTGTTTGATAGTTTTCTCCAAGACCTTTTGTTTGTTACAGAATGTTTGCTTACATCTAGTTATTGGCATAACAGAAGCTGACAAAACATAAGTCTATTGACACCGGCCATGTTGTTTAGCAAAATTATCAGTTTAATATTGGTGCTCTTATTTCTAGTACACGCTTCTAAATTTGACATTGTGATAACATTATTTTTTCAACAACCTTAGCTCAGGTGTTATAGTTTTGTTATCACCATTAGCATCTTTAGCAATTTTTGCTGTCGTCCGGTTTTTATTTTCGTCAATCTTGTCAATAGATTTTTGAAGATTCTGGTAATTTTTTTCCGAAGAAACTAACAAAAAATTCCCGTACGTCAGAAAAATACTTTCCTGTACAACGTCTTGCGCATCAGTAAATGTTTTCAGCGTAAACTATAAATATCACATTGAAAATTTTATTTTAACGAAGTCGCATATATATTATAATTTCTAATTTCTTCAGTACGCAATAGATCTGGGCCCCAATTCCGCTATTTTAATATTATATCAATAGAGTGTCGACGGTGTGTCGTCTTAATAGTTTGGCACTTTTCCTAATCTGCCAACTCAGTACTGATTACCAAACCAACAAGACAGAACAGAAGTCAGCGTACCCAGAAATGACACTGCTTTGCATAACTTACGGTAGCCACGGTACCAACAAAATATGATAAAACCAAAAAGTGAGACACGCTTGTGTGAGTTGATTTAAAATTAAAGACTGAAATGCCATACGAAACAGAAGCTTTATTTCACTTCTCAGTCATTTTTTTTAAACATTACCCAAAATTTAATCTTTCGTCTCTTTCCCCAGGACGTCCTCAACCAACTTTAAATTGGCTGATCAACAACAAGCAGATAGAAGACCACACGATCCTCAAGAACGATGGTAAGGTCATCGTGAGCAGGATCAGCATAGGAGGAGCTGAAAGGAGCTGGTTGAACACTAGCATACGGTGCCAGGCTACCAACACGGCCTTGCTCAGTCCTCATGAAAGAACTGCAAGAGTTGAAATGCATTGTAAGTAATGAATGTATTTAATATGAAAAAATATAGTATTAATTTTACTTTCACGAAAATATTTGCGGTAATATCAACTCTGTATGGAAAACATCCCACTATAGGAGAAAGACAATTTGGAAAGTTCTATCAGTACATCGTGCTGGCTAAAAAGACGTTATAGACTTCACCAACTTTCTACAATGATTCTTAGCGTAAAGCGTCTTAGTAGTTATTTTTGTACGTCGCCTTAGTAACGAGAATAATCAGTTTCTAATACAAAGCTTCAAAACATCGGAGACCTTGGTTTAAGATTGAACTAAAATTTATGAAGTGTAGTGATAATAGTTAAACCATACGATATTTTTATTAACTGAATCGTTTCGGGTAAAAACTGAACTGATCTGTGGTGAAAAAATCCCAACAAAACTATTTAAACGAATTCAATTGGTTTTTACTTAGTAATTGATAAAGTAGACCTAAAGGGAAGTAGTTTCTTTAAAGAAGTTAGGATGAGATAAATTGGAATCATGTAGATGTTCACTATGAAAAGTCTTTATTAAAATTTATAGTCCATCTAAACTAAAAAGTATCGTTTGACAGTTCTGACAGATCAAAATCAGACGGGTCAAAGAAATAGATTACTACAATATCCGATTCTTGAAAGATATCGATATCATTTATTTGTATTTACTAATCGATTACAGTCTTACAGATTTATGTATGTTACTGTAAAGCTCGCGTATTGGTATATCTAATGTTTCACTAATAACTTTGTACTTGTTATTTGTCCGTGTGGTGACGGATTAAGAATACGGAGGATCACCACCCCTATTCGTCCCGTTGGTGGCGGCGTCAAGAGTCGTCTAATGGAACAAACTACGTAGGACAACAGCACTGCAAAGAGAAAGAAAACTTAAAACAATCCTTATCCTAACCCGTCTGGCCAGCGTGGTATAGGAAAGGCCTATGTTCAGCAGTAGACTATGAAAGGCTGTTGATGATGATGATGAATAAATTTTTGTATATACCAATGTATGTAGGTAAATGTCAGAATTTTATAAGTGAGAGATAATTTTTCGCGCTTTTCAATTCCATTATTATTTTTATTTTTTTAACGTGTGCAAACCCCCTCGGGCCGTCACCCCACCGGGGTTTGCACATATTGGTTATTTTGCTTTGTTTAAAAGATTTAAATTTAGTTAGTAGTGGATACAGGCGTAAAAGCGGAGCATGATAATGTTCGCATTTAAAATATTAATTAGAACAGATCAAAGCTTTTGACTTTGTCAAAGGCAGGTTTTGGTACAATAAAATTGAAGTAATTTAGTAGTTATTTCAGTAAATGTTCTATCTTTAAAATTATAACGAAAACAATTTATTAGACACGTGTATATATTTAAGAGAGACCCAACTGAAAGTTCGAGTTCATTTACGTACCTCACGATATTAAATTATCATTATATATATCAGTATATATAGTCGTTAAATAAAATCAAAGATTCGGGTCAATATTAATATTTATAATTTACCAACCCGTCTGGTCAGCGTGGTATAGTAGGCCAAAACCTCCTGTCTAAGGAGAGGCTTATGTCCAGCAGTGGACTAGTAAAAGCTATTGATGATGATGGGTAAATGAAAAAATACAATAATTTTAAGATAATATTCCACAAATGCACCAATGTAATTTACTTAGAGTTATGACAATAGGTTTGTGGAATACATTACGTCTAATATCGTCATCACCATCTTCATCACCGCCTCGGTGGTGCAGCGGTAGCGTATGCGACTGCTGTGCTGAAGCCTCGGGTTCGATTCCCGGGTAGGACTAAAAGTTTATATAATTTGCAAATATTTGTTTCGAGTCTGGGTGTTTTGTAATTACAAAAAAAGTATATAAGTATTCTGACAGTCAATGTAGTTGCCATAGTACAAGCTGAAACTAGAGTGCGAGGTGTTGTGTTCTCAGATGTCCAAAATATGATCAAGGGTTTCTGGCTAGTTTATTATATGCTCGGCTACCTGCTTGACACCAAGTCTCTTTGGTAAAGTCTTTTTTTTAAAAGTCTTTTTTTTAAAAGACAACTCCCGCATTCATAATATATCCTGTGTCGCGGGGGATTTTACAAACATATATGAAACGGACGCAAAGAACATCCAGACTCAGAACAAAAATTTGTGGATCACACAAAGTGTAGTCCTATGTGGGGTTGGAACCCACAACATAGTTATAGGAAGCGGCGTAGCGACCACTTAAACCATTACGCCATCCGTGCAGTCAAAATTGTTTTCGGACGATACAAAGGAGGTATATAGGTTAGGATAAAGAAAATCGAATAGGGCAAATAAGCTGGAGTATGGGACACTGCAAGTTTCGGATGGGAAATTAAACTGATTTTAGTGTAGCTCGAAGGGATTTACGTACACTAATATCTATCCTATTACTGGAGAGCCTTTAAGGTCAAGGACCTCAATCGGCCATATTATGCTTACTACATAGTATTTATTTTCTGCAGTGCGTCCTACATCAGTGCTGATCACCAACAAGCCAGGTCAAATGTCAGCTGACTCCGAAATCACGTTGGTTTGCATAACTCATGGTAGCAGACCAGCAGCTCAAGTTACCTGGTTTAGGGAAAACAGAAGATATACCAGGGGAAAGGTAAGTTAGAACTATCATTAGTTGATTCTTCTTTTGCATGAAATTCTTTAGCGTTGTGGTACTCTTTTTTTTAATAAACGTCTTTTCGTGGGGTAGTCAAGCTTCAGTTTTGATTCGATGGGAGTGATGACCCTCACAGAAAACCGGTGTTAAGCAGTTCTTTTCGTTGCTTTTCACCAATTTGGTGAGCTTGTCGGAGCCCGACAATTCCAAGAATTCTGGGTAGCACTAAAGGGGTCTTTCCTTTCTAAGGAGAGGCCTATGTCCAGCAGTGGACTATTAAAGGCTGTTGATGTGATGTGACTAAAGGGGTGATAATGCACTTGTGTCCATCGACGGCGGTAGTCACTTTCCATCAGGTGACCCATCTGCTCGTTTGCCTCCCAGTACCATAAAAAAATCAACTTTGAAGGGCATGAAGATGGTAAGAAGAGTGTTATCTTTTGACTTTTGCACTTCATGATAATATATATATGCAAAGCGGATTAATCATCATCAGGCTATCGCAGTCCACTGCTGGACATAGGCTCCTCACATTGCATTGCACTTAGATCGATTTTGGGCTTCTCGCATCCAGCTCCTGCCAGTCATCTTGCGCAAATCGTCACTCCACCTGGCCTGTGAGCTACCTATACTATATATACTACGTTTGCCGAGACGTGGTCTTCACTCAAGAACTCGTTTTCTCCAATGGTTGTCGGTTCTGCGGCTAATATGGCCAGCCCACTGTTACTTCAGCTTGCGGGATTAGCAAGGGGATTAATTAGATCACCTAATAAATATAATATGTTATACTAGCAGTACGCCGCCACGCTTCGTTGTGGACTACCACATTGTAGTTGCACTGATGAGAAATGAGGAACTATACAGACACGAAAACGGCGTGAGGGGTCATTTGACCATTGGGGCATTTAGGGCATTTGATGAAATGATTGGTTTTAGACAGCGATTTCACATGTGATTGTGATTTCGTCATGGACAAAGATAAGTGGCATTACAATTAATCAAAATTCCTAAATAGAAAACGACCTTTTTTTTAGTCATAGGTGTATTGAAATGATTATTATCATCTAAATCATATTATTTTTAAAGCATATGATTTATCACATGTGATTGTGATTTTAGGCCAACCCTATTCCTTACACATTTTTCGGTCTCGCTATAAGAGACTTCGTTCAAAAAATAGATAAAAACTTTCTTTAAAGCGTGTTGTATATCGTATCTATCGGTATCAGGTCGGTAATTGGAATCGAAGAATAAAATATTGATGTATTTCCGTTCTTCAATTCCTATTAAGAAAAATATATAATCCTAGGAGACATAAAGTCTAGACACGTATTCTCTGCATCCGTTCCGGGAATTTCTATAACAAGCCATTAGAAATCACATATTATTAAAACTTGTATATTTTTTAATAAACTCAAACTGAAACTTAAAATATCTTTATTTCATAAAACAATAAAATGATTTGAAAACGTCCCTTGTGTTCACTTAAGTCATAGGTTAACGCACACAATAGCAAAAATCTTTGTCAACAATATTTCCTAGAAGTGTCTCAGAAAAATAAAATATCTGCAAAAAATTGTGTTTGGACTCTTCTGTTCGCGTTCCTCCGTTCCAAAACGAGATGATATTCGATATACTCTCTTTAGACCATAGACAGAACCATGGTCTTTAGTGAGAGATCTCTCACATCAATAGCTGTCATGGGGTAATTTCGCTGTTACGTTCAAGTTGAGCCGTCCACAAGAACTTGCAGTACAGTGTGCCCGTTACTGCCATTAGGACCTGACCTTAAGCCCCGCTCAAGTGATTTCTTGCGCAATAGATATAGTCACTCAAGGGCTTTTGCTTCTTGGTCCCATAGGTCCAAACTGGCCAGAAGACTGGTCATTTGGAAAAGGATCGTACTATTTTCTTTTATGACTCAACCGCAAAAGATCTACCATCGACTTCTTCCTCATGACCATCAGGGATTCGGATATTGTGGATTTGGGATTCGGTAGTAAGGCTGAAACCCATTGGTGACTTTATTAGGGAACCATAGAAGTGAAGATTTTTGGGGCGTCTCTCGATTACGTGCCTTCGAAAGCACGTTCGACAGTCGGTCCCGGTTGTAATGCAAACATCTGTGGCAATCGTTACAGATAGTTTTAGCCCCAAACAGCCCCACAGCCGTTCTTCTACAGAACATCGATATCACCTAGTTTGGGTTGTGGAGGTACTTAAAGCCGACCCCAACCTAGTTTACAAAAAGGCTAGGCAAAAGAGGAGGAAGAAAAGTGAAGGGCTACCTCAAGACTCACCAGTTAGACATTTTTTTTTAATTACATAGCCATCTCTTGCAAATACAAGTACATAGTGGGGATTAAAGTGTCTATATGTAGAAAAGATTGACAGACCTAAAAACTTAAAAGGTAAGCCAAACTAAAATGACCTTTACTGATTGCTTAATATGCGTGACACAGCGGGCAGTAAATTTTAATCTAAGTCTGTCTAAATACATAATACGCAGTACAAATTAGGTCTTATAACCATATTAACTATAGTTTACAATGCCAAGACCCCACGTCATGTCCTTAATAGTACAGATTCATTCGTTACTTTACGTTTATAAATAAAGTAATCCTTGGTTATTGTTTATTTTTTGTTGAAGCGGAAAAATCCTTGCTTAGTAAGTAACAAAGAACTTTCTATAGAAAGTATGGAGTATTTATTATAACCATTTCTTTGTAACCAAAATAATTTATACATATTAATAAATCAACAGTAGAACAGATAGTGGAGTTTAACAAGTGATTTAGAAAAATAGCTACTCGTACTAAATTAATAAGGTTCAATATTGATTATGCGTCTGCCAACTTAATATTGTGGGTAACCTGTCGATCCCACCTTGTTACATTGTTTATCGTGTATAATTTGTCTAGCTTTCTGTCTATTGTTGGTAGATATAACATATCTATAAGTTGAAAAAAGTTTTTTTTGGTAGGTAAAGTTAAAACGGCGACAAATAGCCGTCACTACATATTATATTGACTTGTCATGATACGAAAAGTAAAAATCATCACTCAAAATTATATGTAGGTATACCTACTTATAATTGAAATTGTATTAACCACGGAGCACAGTATTAACTATACTACAAATTAATCAAGAAAATATCGTATAAACCATGCTAATAAAGTCAAATTTCCAACAGCACAGCGAATTCACAAATGAGACGACAACAATCAGCCGTCTCACAATGCTGCCGGAGCCAGATGACGATGGTGCGGTCATCAGGTGCCGCGCTGACAACCCTGTACTCCGAGTGGCGCTGGAAGATTCCTTCCGAATGAGCGTTGTTTGTAAGTTACTTCTATAATTCGGTCCGTATGAGACGGTCGAAATGTGGGAGGTTCTTAAACATCACACATCTCACTTACGATCGTCTGATCCTAAACTAGGCAGATCCTGTACTATGGTAATCAGACTGCTGATTAACATACTTATATATTTCTGAATACATACATATCTATACCAATATTATATAGAGGTAAGTTTGTGAGTTTGTATGTTCGGGCTATTCTCCGGTACTACTGATCCCATTTGGAAAATTCTTATACTTTTAGAAAGGTATATTATATCTGAGAGCTGTAGACTACTTTAACCAATATACACGCGGTTTTTCGGTCATCGGTAATTCGGTCATTAGGTGAAATTCAAGTTAAATATAATCGATAAATTCAACTGGAATTTGATAAATACAGAGAATTTAGGGTTAAATACAATTTAAATCTGAAGTATATAAAACTACGAGGTATAAGTATATGTATCTGAAGTATATAAACTACTATAAAATTATTATTAAAAGGTAAAGTTTGTGAGATGATATATTCGGGGTAACCTCAGGATTTTTGTTTTTTAGGGATACAAGCAAACTTTTTTTTTTGTTTTTTTTTTTTTTTAATTAAATTATTAAATCGTTTCTTGTGTAGACTCTAAAGTCATAGATCAACACACACAAAAGCAACAATCTTTGTTTTGGAAATAAATAACTAAATATAAACATATCGAAAATCACCTATATGCCTGTGCCGATCTACAACCGCCCATTTCCAAGGGGTTGAGCCTCATGAGAAGAAAGGGCAAACAAACTCACTGCCACTCTTTTCAATCAACAGATAACAATGGCATCATTAAATATACACAACATTGTTTTGATGTGTGCCAGTATGTAAATTTTAAGGACTAAAAGGTAAAAAGGCAATGAAGAAAAAACAAGATATAGAAAAAAGATGGCATAAAAAAGAAAGTAAAGTAAAACATAAAAAATGGAAAATTAAATAAAATACGCCCACATCGCATGTCCACTACGAAATAACCTGTGCTAATTTAATCGCAAGCATTCTTGTCTTCTATGTAATCCACAATTGAGTAATAGGCCCCTATTACTCAATTGTGGATTACATAGAAGACAAGAATGCTTGGGATTGACACTGACACTGTTTAAGTTTTAATGTAGATTTAAATTTGTGTTTACTTTAGTGCATGTAGTGCACCACTTTACTGTATCCGACACTAAAGTGGTGGATAGCCTTTTTATCGAGAAATTATTTAGATTATATTAGATCATGCTATGACCAATAGAAACCGAGTATCAATGAAATATGTTGCAAGAAGCAGACGAAGTTGCACGGGTCACCTTGTTATTGATAGACATAAATAACATAAGTACAAGACAATTTTTATTGTAATGCACTCATAATTAAAAGCCTAATAGTTGCCAGTGCTGGATAAAATCCAAATGACCAAAACCTCTTCAACTCTACAGTTTTTAAGTTATTTTTTGTCTAACAAATATCTTAAAAACTTTGTCTCCACAAACATTGGACTCCACTGAAAACTTTTATAATCTGTTGTTGCATTCAACTCTCTAGCTCCAAGATCAGCAGATTTAAACTGACGTTTTGCAAGATTAGTCTGTTTGAATTTAAGTTTTATCCTGAATTTAATAAGAGCTGTAATTCAACTTTTGTCATTTGGGATTACCTTTTCAGTTCTTTGGCTTAATAACTTTGAGCAAGATGTATACAGTCTTAATGCAATTAAACCAGGCTAAAACATGTAGTTAACGAAATTATTTTTAAATTGCGTTTATGGAGTAAATACCTAGTGTCCTTTAGCCACGGATGGTAGGTCGTTGCCCTTGGTATTGAATGTAACCAATTTAAGAATCATATATTTTGTAGAAGTTTAATTTTCATTAAATGTATTTTGCTTACTATTTAGCAAAACAGAGATTGTTGCTATTGTGTGTGTATTAATCTACGACTTTAGAGTCTACAAAAAAGAACGATTTCAATCCTTTTTTTTTATGAAATAAAGACATTTTGAGTTTTAGTTTGATATTTCGCGATTTCGAGTATTTTAATGGATGAGCTAGCAGAAATTGATGTCTTGCTTTTAAGTTTGTACAAGGTGGTATATCGATCAACTCTTTGTATGCCATTTTTCACCGTACCGATATAGGCATACGTCATACTTTAGGCCTTTTCTAAAAACTAATAGCTATGCCAGTATTTTGATATATTATTAAAATTAATAAAAACTTCACACATCTTACATACGGCTGTATAATATCAAACTATCTGTGATAGCCAAACTGTTAAGTATACTACACCCAGACACATAAAATACCCTAAGGTACTTATTACACAATAGTATCCACAATATTGTCTTGGCTTAGTAGTTAGAATGGCTAACTACTAAACTAATAGACTTGTCAAAAACCCAATTATCTTTCCCAATATAATAAAACTGAACAGATCTGTGGAACCAGCAATCATACTTGAACAATTGTTATTTATGCATGCGTGGCGACTCCAATATACAAAGAAACAGAAGCATACTACAGCACCATCTAACGGAGACACTACTGCTAATCCTGTAACACGAAATGAGCAATTCTCTCGCCGATTAGCATACATACAACTTCCCAACATCAACCGTTGGGCCACCGCCCGCCAGGCATGATCACCTCGCCTGGTCGGAAGATCCACCCTTTGTGTTGGAGGAACAAAACTACCGTTCCTTTACACATTTATTTGTTTATTTCTACACATAAATAGCATATACAAGAGAGCAAAATAAACAAATAATCCACAAAAAACATGAGCGGTTGATACTTAAAAGAGGTATCCTGAGCTATAAGTACCAGCATCCCTTTAGAGTCAGGATTTTGCTGAGTATTAAATAGAGTATGTATTAAAGAATTATATTTATTTTATAAGCTATACAACCTAAAGGCACCTTTTCAAGCGAAGCAGTGACCATAAACGCGCCTGTACTCGTAAACTTATTTAGACGGGATAGTTTAATTTATAAAGATATTTGTCTTTGACTTTATAATTGCCTCCTTTCTGTTATATATAAATAGAGTGTGTAGTCAAAACTATTTGAAGTACATTAAATGCAGACAAAATTTTGCCCTTAAAACTTTCTAGCAGTAATACAGATATGACAAACTGTGTACTGCAATCCTATTAACTTGGCAAACTCTTCAAACTAGTTGAAGTCGTCTCCTATCCCTAACTTTTTCATTTAGTCGTTAGCGACATGGACTAGTTTTTAAGACTTCACTTTGATGTTTACTTAATAATAACTTCTTCTAACATTTAGTTTAATTTATAATACATGTTAGTGAAGTTCTAGGAAGCCACGTCATGCTGAAATATCTCCACAACTTGTATGCAATGTCGGGGCTTAAACGCGTTAACATCCAGATACTTTACTTGTTTATTTATACGGCGTTTTAACTGAATTGCTTCACGTGTTATTTGATTTATTAAACAAAAAGGAAATTATATTTATTAAACAAAGTAATTTCAAAGTGAATTAAAATCATGAATAAATTATGTTTTAAATCAACGCCAGTCTTACAAGCATGTTCGATAATATTAAATTGAAGTCCATTGGACAGATTGTACCTGGTTTAACTGTAGGAGAGACATGCTTTGGCCGACTGGGCCGGTGTGATGGTATAACTATTTCACCGAACGAGGTTTTTGGGGGCCCAAACACATAATAATAATATTCTCCGGCATTCACACAACGCCACCTAGTCCCGAACTTAGCGGAGCTTGTACCATGGGTATCAAACAACTGATTTAAATTTAGTTTTTGTAAATATATACATATAATACACAGAACAACCCAGACCAAATCAGTTTTCCTTCTCTCTGCACTGCTGTTGTTCTGCGTAGTTTGTTCCCTTAGTCGGCTCTTACGACACCCTCGGGATGAACAGGGGTGGTGACACTCTGTATTCTTAATCCGTCACCACACGGATGGTGACACGCTTATATGTAACATTATTTAATGAAAAATAATTGTGAAGATCATTAGTTCATTTCTTAATTGATGGAGGGATCTCACTTACCTGCACAACTCAGAATGATTTGAAGCTTGGTGTACTGTTACCCGATCGGTGTCGGAGTGTTCCAATTTTTTTATTTGTATTATTTTCAACATATAACACATGATATTTGTTATGATAAGTGCTATATTTATATGTTAAGACGGCTTTAAGTAAAGTCTACAAATTCATATGTCATTTAGTTGCAGAAAGTATCTATAATTTAAACATTTAATTTATATTTAGAGCTTGTTTCAATCCTCTCCTTAGCGCAGTCAGATTTCAAACAAGTAATTTGCCAGTGAAATTTAATTTAATTTATTTAGCGTGACATTCAAAGTACTTTCATCCACTAACCAAGTTTTACTGAGTAAGTACAGTTGCATTAAATTCGAATTGCTTGGTATACATTAGTTGAGACCTGCGGTTTTAACCGTGTCTAATATAATATGGAATAGTGAGTGCAGTGATTATGTTTTATATTTTATATATATATATTATTATTAGAATTATGTTTTATATTTTTTTAAACTATATTCTCTTTTTACACGCTTTTTATTAGCTTCACCTGTGATTGTTTATTTGTCACCGACTCCTTCTGGTGTGATTTTGACTGACTTTAAACGGTTAGAATTCGTTCAAACTTTGTAGATATATCGAGTACCGATGTCAATACACTAATTTAAAATAAAAAATAAGTAATATTAAAAAAAATAGTTAAAAAAAACTCTTTTTATAGAAAACCAAACTAAAAAAAAAAATTAAAAATAGAAAATGAATTTTAATAAATTTGAAAAAAAAAGCTTTGGGTGCATGTTGTCAATAGCAAAAAGCCACAAATTTATTTTACAACTTTTTAGTTATGTTTTCTATAAAAAGCGTGTTTTTTTTAACTATTATTATTACCATAGTACAGGTTCTACGTAGTATCGGATCAGACGGCCATGAGTGAGATGTATGAGGTTATTATTATTTTCCTCCTGGTATTGAAGAGGCCACTAAGGAAATCACCTTAGAATTTTTTTCGTGTTGTATCAATTTACTCATTCTTTTACTTCCATAAGGTTTATTTATGATTGAAACCGCAGTACTAGAAAGTTGCACCAGGGACTTCCTTTCTAGGGTATACCTGGTTCCCCGGCTATTAGTACCCGAGACGGCGTGCGGTTTTAGTCGGTTCGAGTCCTACATGCCACCGATAGGTGGTATCCGAGGGGATTTCCGCACGAAAAAAAAAAAAAAAAGTACTAGAAAGTTATCTACCATAATTTTTATCTTTTTTTAATAGATAAACCGGTCTTGACCATGTCGCTGGGCAGCACGCTGAACCCCAATGACATCAAGGAAGGCGATGACGTATACTTCGAGTGCAACATTAAAGCAAACCCAAGGGAACATCGGATCTCCTGGTACCATAACGTGAGTGAGTCGCAGAACTGTCTTGTAGTTACTTTATAGAACTCTTCTCTTGAATTTTAGAATATTTTTTTTCTCAAAGGGTACCAACACATTCTGTGACTGTTAAGCAGCACCTGTCCATGGACAGCGGTAGTCACTTACCATCAGATGACTCGTGTGCTCGTTTGCCCCCTTTACCATCGAAAAAATTTACACCAAACATTAAGCATTTAAAAATAAAATATATGTCAAAGAAAAACTATATAGAAACGCAGCATTTCATTACAACAAAAGCTTCATCACCACGTTGAAGTTCGTGAAAGACCGAGTTCTTGTGCACGGAGAGGAATCAATGGCCTCGGGTTCTGCTGGACTTCCCGATCTTGCGATCCTTGAACGTACGGGTGTCGGCTGAATGCTTACCGAATCGGTAATCTCAAATTTTGCCACCAAACGTTGAAGAGTCGGCTGTGAAGGGCCACGTCTACCGTTAAATAGGCGCAACATTTGCACTGATGAACACTCATTTTGATAATGTGTGTTTAATCGTGTAACTTGCCGTGGTGATTTGGCATAAGTAACTGAATAATAAACAATAGATTTGACAGATATCACCAAAATAAAGTGGCCGCCATGGAACGCCAAAATCTACCTGCACCTTTTGAAAAACCCTTTATAACTAAATAATTCTCACCTGCACACACACAAAAGCACCCACAAACGAACACGCACACGCACGCATACACACCTATTAATGTAATCTGGTATCTAATATAGGCTATCAAGTAACCTTGCTATGTCTGTGACTATTATGTAAAGGTTATATTTTTATATATTATTATTATTATTATATAAAATATTATTATTATTACTATAAAATATTATTATTATTAAAATTATTATTGATTTTGTCGTAAACAGAGACAAAGCCCGCACCTTTTTTATTTCTCCTTCTCCTCTGTTGTCGATAAAATTTTCAGGGCGCTGCTCTTTTTTCATAATCTTTATCACTTATTTTAAACTAGCTGACCCGCGCAACTTCGTCTGCGTCTCTCAATAGTAATAAATTTTCTCCGTTTTTGAAATATTTTTCATTGGTGCTCCGCTCCTATTGGTCTTAGCGTGATGATATATAGCCTATAGCCTTCCTCGATAAATGGGCTATCTAACACTGAAAGAATTTTTCAAATCGGACCAGTAGTTCCTGAGATTAGCGCGTTCAAACAAACAAACAAACAAACAAACTCTTCAGCTTTATAATATTAGTATAGATGTATTTTTTGCGTAGTCGACTATGATAGAAAATTTGTGACTCGTGAGTTGCAGACGTTCATGGTCGGCGATGGTCACTTTCCATCATCGTGTCATATGACGGCTAGAGACTACCTCTGTCCTTGAATGCTTGTAACTAGAGAAACAAGAGCTTTGCTCCTCGAGTACCCTTTTACGACAGAGTTAGAGAGTATACAAAAAAATGGAAAATATATTATAAAAAGACAAGCCCGCTAGGCTTGTCTTTTTATAATATATTTTCCAAATTGACTTTCTAACTTTTGTTTTTCGTTTAGGACCATCCAGTTAATCAAAATATGTCATCGGGAGTATTTATAAGCACCAAGTCTCTTGTCCTGCAAGGAGTGAAGAAGAGAGACGGTGGTCTTTACACGTGCAGAGCGGCAAATCAAATGGGAGAATCCAGCAGCCAAACAGTGTATCTAAGAGTCCAATGTGAGTAAACGATTTATCATTTGTATAGCTAACAAGAAGTTGAATGATCTTTTTTCAATCTAATTCACTTCTAAGTTTTAAGTTAACCTTTAAGAGGCGTGATGCTTAACTTTAAAATTCATATGTTTATAAATACACTATAATAGTGTACCTACTCGCCGTTGGTGGCCTAATAAATAAATAAAATAAAATTTCTTGTTCAGTCTTTGTCAAGCAATTTTGGTGTAAGTTTTAGACTCTTAGTCTTTAGTTACGAGATCAAACACATTTAATGCGAATGAAGTGCTTCTCTGAATCCTTAATAGAACTGTAATTTATATTAATTTGATTTAAAAATTACATACCTTAGTCACATCCCGTAAAATTCGATTTCAACTGAAAAGTAAATGTTATATACAGACGCCCCGATCTGCGCGCAGCCCTCGCCCGTCCTTATCGGTGCGCGGTTGGACGAACCGCTGCGCGTACGCTGCACTGTAAATGCCGATCCTGCTGATGTCACATTCTACTGGCAGTTCAACAATAGCGGCGAAAGTTTTCAAGTGTCTCCTGCGAGATACGGTAAGCAAATAATAAACTCACACATCTCACATACGGCTATCTGATCCCAAACTAGGCAGAGCCTGTACTATAGTAACCAGACTGCTGATAAACATACTTATATATTTCTAAATACATACATATTATAGATAAATTACACCCAGACACAGTACAAACGATCGTGCTCATCACACAAGTATTTGTTCTGGGTGGGAATCGAACCCACGACCTCCAGTTTAGCAGTCAGGGTCACTAACCACTAGACCAACACGCCCGTCAATTACAGTTTGAGTTTGACTAATGTTGTAAACATTTCTAAATTATTTTGAGTAGCTTGTAAAGCACCTTTAGGCAATATCGACGATTTATTGCCTGGCAGGCAATTGTTTTATTATAGAATTTAATTGTAAGAAACACCAGAAAAATTTGGTGTATGTCAGTGATAATATTTTTAAATTATAGATATATTACAAAATTACTTCATGAAATTTATATTTGTATAATAAATTTATACAATAAATTTATGTTTGTCTACTATTTTGGGCCTTATTGCACCAAAGCGCTTTATGAAAAGTAGGTATATGCACTTCGTCTACATCAAAAACAAATTATGATTTAAAACTAAACAGACCACGACCTATGTTGGCAGGAAGCCAACAAGAGAATATCTTCACTGAAAGAGTTTGAATAAAATTTTATGTTTGACTTCTTTCAGTACAGATTTTTACTTCATATTTTGTTATGCTTCGAATCTAATAATACATAATGATTTATATTTAAAATTTTATTTTGTTGGTCAGGTTTTACTATCGAAAAATAAAATGATGAGTTATAAGATTTTTGTTCCTTTTTGTTTAGTTTCCACTGGAGGCACATCAAGTGAACTTCGATACCGCGCAGCGAGCGAACGTGATTACGGTGCGCTGTTATGCCGCGCATCCAACACGGTTGGCCGACAAAAGCGACCGTGTGTGTTCCAGATAGTTCCTGCAGGTGCGCTAAAAATGTTTTTTAACTCACCTGTGGAAATATTTATATTCTTCCTAAAAGCGTGCAAATATAATATTATTAAGCTTCAGCGTAGACGACTTAGTTACTTGTCTTAGTAACTCGAGCGTTATGACAAGAGAGGAAGAGACAGGAAGTTGATAACTATTTCGATTAAATCCTGGAAAGAAAATGGTTTCGATTATACAAGGAATCTGGTATTACGTTAACTAACCTTTTGTATATTTTTGAAGTAAAACTTCTTTACGCACGCTTGGGAGTAAGCTGGTGAATGCGTGACGAAAAGTGTGATCGAGCGAGGCGAACGGAAGTTGAGAGGGAGATATAAGTTAGTGAAGATAGAAAGGGAGAGAGTTGCGTTTCATATATTACTATAGGGGCAGAGAAAGGTGCGAGCGAGAACACATTTTCTTTCTCTCTTTCTCTCATAGCCAAGAAGTTTTACTTCAGTCGTGTGGTTTCAAGCACACTCGTTTTTTTTTCTTTCTTTTTTCAACCCGACCCGAATTTGAAACATTCAATTTCGGTTTCACCGTAGCCGTAGTTTTGTACCTTTTGCAACCACTGAATGCACAATGAAACAATTCTTGTTTGAAAATATTTTAAAAAATAAAATAAAACCAGGAGTCGAGCGAGGACCTAACCAGTAATCTCATCCAAGAAACATTTTTCTTATATATTTTTTTTTTGTTATATTACAAATTGGAAAAATAGCCTCTTTTTTGCAAAGCAAACTATCCTAAAATAAAATATTTAAATTCTTTTAGCTAACCAAAATAAAACCGTCGAAATGTTGTATCATTTTTTTTTTAACGGGGAATCAGTTTCGACTTTATTGTGTTAAAATATTTGAACGCAGCCTCGGGGTTTCCGGCTATACATTACTACTCACATTTAACTTAAATTAATATCAAATTTTGTTAATATTCTACTCAAATATTTGTTCATATTTGAGTATTTCTCCGAACGGTTTTAATTAAGGCCACTGAAAATAGTAGGCCAAAACTTCATTTCTAAGGAGAGGCCTATGTCCAGTAGTGGACTATTAAATGCTTTTAATTAAAAAAATGATTTAATTTCTTGATTTGACTTTTTACAGACACTTTCATAACTCATTATCACATATTATATATATATATATATATATATATATATATATATATATATATATATATAGTAGTTACTAGTTGTTCTTGATAAATTTTTATTTAACCACTCCATTCATATTTTAATCATTGATTCGTCACCTTTTAAAATACGCTACATGGTTCTATAGTTAAACCGCCATAAGCTTGGCCCTCCTGATGGTTTGGGGGACGCGGGGCGGGGATGCATTCAAACAATTAGCTAGTGCGTTGCTGTTCGCCGGCAGTGACTGACGTGAAAGCATGGCTGTACGTGTTATTTTTATTAAGACTGCTACACACGGTATTATTTTGCAACATGGATAATCTGCCGACTCTGCGTCACAAAAAGATTTAAAAACTTGAAGTTCGACTTACAGAGGTTCTATTGTTAAAGTTCTAATAAAGAATATTTATTATTTTACTTAAATTTTAAAATTGTATCTGAATATAATTTACATGATGAAGATAAGGTGATTTTATTAAAATTATTTTACAGTATTAAATTTTACAATCATAATAAAAACTTACAACACACTGACATTATAATACATGGAAATAAATTCCATTTTTATTACATCGTGTGTAGATTAAATCTCAAACAAATAAATCTGAAGATATCGAGTTAGTACATCGTGTCATGTATAGCCGAGCGCATCACCCGCCCCGCGTCCCGCAAACCATCAGGAGGGCCAAGCTTACGGCGGTTTAACTATAACAATGATAACCTCAACACATCTCACTTGCCTCAATTAGATGGTCACATAAATAATTACACGGTGCTTGTCTAAATGCTTGACATACCTATATGTTACAAGAAATAAATTGCAAAGAAAAAATAATAATAATAACGCCAGCCGTCCCACACACGGCCGTCTGATCTCAAACTATGCAGATTTTTACTAAAGTAACCAGACGGCTGATAACAATGATATTATGTACAAACAAGAATTAGATACGCCAACGCACAAAACGCCAGGGTCCTAATTAGGACCACTGCGAGCGAGCACACGTACTAATTAATTGGAGAAAATTCATAAAATGCATTCAATGCAGTTCATTATAAAATTGCATTAATTACGACATATTATAAACTAGGCAGATCCTGTACTAAAGTAACCTAACTGCTGATTACAATTTTTGACTTTGTGTCCGTTTCATGTATGTTTGTAAAGTCCCCCGCGACACTGGAATATATTTCTAATGCAGGGAGTTGTCTTTGTTTTTTAAATTAAACAATGATATTATATCCAACGCACAAAACGCGAGGGTCCTAATTAGGACCACTACGAGCCAGGGCACGTATTAATAAACTCGACGAAATTTATAAAATGCCTTCCTGCGTATTCTGAAAGCGCACAAATTACGACAAAAAGGTAAATAAAGATAAAGGAATATTACACAGGTTAGTGTATGTTTTGTTCTGAAATGCATTAAGAGATGTATGTGCGGTTACGGAACAAATATTTTGGGCGTGCAGTATGAATATAACGTATCTTCCTTAAAATACTATTAGCTGATGAACATATTAAAAAATACTTAAAATCTGTACATTGTAACATTGCAAAAGTCATACTTGCAGTTGTTTTGTCAAAATGGCATATATATCATTTTAAAAAACAATTAAAATCAGTATATGACACCTACAATTGTATAGACTAACTATAATACAACAGCTGGCAAATAAATAATAAACTTTAAAAAAATATTAAAATGGCTGTGCTGAAAACTATGAGACATTGAGTTACAATGTTATTCATATTGGGTGTCGATAATATATATATAATTATTTCTAAATACATATTAGAAATAATTTACATCCAATTAAATTTAATTTTCTAGTAAATTTTTTTTTCTTCGGACCGGCTTTTTCCGAATTTTCATATTTCATCCATTACTTTAATTACCATTAAGTACGAGTATTAACAGAAAGTCAGATATTTTCAAGGACCTTAAGCTATACGTGTCAATCGCCCGATTAATAAACATTAGAATAGCAGAAAACAAATAAAGAGTTTCAGAAATTATCAACATTGGTCTCCATACCTACTTGTCCAATACCATCACAGTAATTCAGTTCTGTCCGTGTAGTGACGGATTAAGAATACGGAATGTCACTACCCCAATTCATCCCGTGGGTGTCGTTAGAGCCGACTAAGGGCGCAAAACAACGCAGGACACCAGCATTGCAAAAAGATGGAAAACTTGACACAAACCCTATACCAACCCGTCTGGGCAGCGTGATATAGTAGGCCAAAACCTTCTTTCTAAGGAGAGGCCTATGTCCAGCAGTGGACTGTTAAAGGCTGTTGATGTGAATTCAGTTCACGCTATCATCTTACTCCATTTAGATCACAAGAATATTTAACTATAAATTCGGTTAAAAATTAAACGTTATATACGAGTAGTTGTTGTTTTTTAATAAATTATAAATTCATTTATTTTGCAAATGGATGTTTTGAGACATTTTCACTCATCAGAACCAATCACCATGTACGTGATAAGTTCTGAAGAGTTTAATGGTGCTGTCATTTCCTAATGTAGTCATATCAAAGCTAGTGTTTTGCGAAGATACAATACAAACTCATCCAAGTCTACTTAACAACAGTACTCATGGACAAACTGCGTAATATTCGAACAGAATATAAGAAAGCAAATTGCTTTTAAATTCTCCGACCCTCAATCTCTTTTATCTAGGCGTCACATTTGCAAACCTTTTTATAGCACTATCAAGGTAGAATTCTGCCAGTGATGATGCCATAACGACTTGCAGTAAAAATGCAAGAGATTGTAAATACCTGACTTAAAGGCTGCATTTACAGTGATTCTTGCCTTTACAGTGATATTTCTTATCGTTTAAATAAAATGGATAGTACATCGACATCTTCGGTATTTTAAACATAATTTCATTTATTCAGCACGCTCGCTGTTACAAAATGTTTTATCGAGAATTTTTACTTCAAACACTCACTATAACAAACAAGAGGTCACTATATAACTCGTTAGTCGCACTAGAAATTCACTTCGATGTTAATTCGCTGTGTTGTAAAACGATACTGTCTCGTACGGCCAACACGCTCCGCTTTAATAGTGCTATCGAATTTACTAGAATAATCCTCAGTATTCGATAGTCCGTTCCAGCCAAATAAGAATATTTCAGTATCAGTCACGTGGCACTTGCAGCGCCATTTAGCACTAAAAGAATCAGAATTATTAATCACAATCTCAACAGTTGTACTTTACGTGATGGCGCTGTCCTCCATATTCCATACAATTTTGGAAATCTACTTAATCCTATGGCGTAACAATATTTTCAGTTTATTATTTTTCCTGTTCATTCTCAACTTGTGCAAGAAAGGATAAGGATAATTATCCGTTTATAAACGTAACTTCCATATCTAAGAGCTGGCTTGATGCATTAGACTCTTGATTCATTTCTCTAACGTGAACTTTTTCATATTTGCTAATATTTCAAAAGATATGTCGTATTTCGAAATATGCAGCCGGCCGCCTTGTTTTATACTCATTGTTTAAAAGTTCTAAGCAACTATGGAGCATTTTGTTTGTTATTTAATTTAACAGTGGATAATACAATAATTTTCAACTTATTGTAAAGAAGTGGTACGTACGAGTATGACCTGTATAAAGTTTATTTTATTTTCGTATCACGTTCGATTTTATAACAAAAGCTTAAAAGTTTTCGTATGGACAAAATATTATATATGCTGTATATTGCAGCTGCGTACGTATACAAGGCCTCGTAAACTTGAGAATTTAATCTACTTTACGCGAAGCTAATGTGGCGAAATTGCCTATTTTATGACCCGTCAAAAGTTTGAGCACGTTGTATGAAATTCAGGACATGCTGCATTGAGCTACACCGACGTAGTTTCCGATGCGACGCGATAATAAAACTAGCCAGTGTAGACATAATCCCGGAGATTAAAACAATACAGTGTCAATACAGTTGTTAATACAGGATAATATTACTTAAAAATAAAGCCTCATGACCGTATCGTGGTGTTGAAGTTGAGTGCCTTCCTGAATCGGAGGGTTACTAGTAGCCCCACACTCAGCGGTGTTTCGTTAACACCGCTGAGTATGGGGGGAGAGGGGTAAAAGTTAAAGAAAAATAAATTAAGTAATTAATACTAAAATAAATTGAATAACGTACTTGTCTACCGCGATTGCTAATAAAAATAAAATTGCAAAAAAGTTTTTAATATAAAATATAATCTGCCAAAGATTTACTTTGATATCTGCCAAAGTAAGTAAGTCACACTTAATCATTCTGAGTTACGTGAATTATCTAAGAAGAACGACGAAATCAATTAATCAAAATTTCCCTATAAGGCACAGATAATGCCGTACTCCTAGAAATTGGCGTGTAAATTAATAATTTACCAAGTTAATTAAAACATTCCCGACTTGCGAGTGATCGGTGACTGGGAACGATCGGGAATCGTTTTAAAATACGACCAAACTTTCCCAATAGCAACCAGGGACTTATATAAAGAGGTAACGGGAGATCTTACACTACAACTTCTCATTAAAAAACATTTCGATTTTGAATACAAGAGTTTTTACTGTAGTTTTCCTTCAGTTGGTACTTATATAAATTTTGCTACGAATTTCTCTGATAAATTCAAATAATCAGCATTAGTTTCTTTTGAGCACTATTTTTATGAAAACTTTGGTATTGGAAAAAAGAGAAAAAAACAAAACACATAGTACGATTGAACTAGATTATAGGATTGGTTTTTAATTCAAATCAAATATCGAATGATATCATTCACAGATTTTTTTTAGCATATAGGGGCAAACGAGCAGACTGCCACCTTTTTTTTCTTCGTGCGGAAATCCCCTCGGAATCCACCTATCGGTGGCATGTCGGACTCGAACCGACTAAAACCGCACGCCGTCTCGGGTACTAATAGCCGGGGAACCAGGTAGGCCATCTACAGACGAGTAGACGACCCCCCCCCCCCCCCTCCGTGTGGGAACCCCATGTTCCCTCTGCTCCCTGGAAGCGAGCGCGCTTCGCAACGCGCTCGCCGCCACCCCGGCCTGTTTCTGCTAGGGTGACAGATGGTCTCACCTGTCACCCCCAGGCCTGCGCTTATGGAGGACGGAGGTCGTTCTGGCACCCTCGCGCGCCTGAGTCGCCTGCGGTACTGCAATTTCACACTATAACCCCTAATATTAAGATAAATTTTAATTATTTGATAAAATTAATGTTTTTATTAGCTTTCACTCATTAAAATCTTTTTTAAATATATAAAAGAGATAAAATGTTATTACACTTTAATAATTCCTACTATTCTCTAGTAAAATAGTTTAATGTCAAGTAAACAAATATTTCGAACATATTTCGCTTCAACTGAGAATTGTTTCATACCAAGAATTTTCGCATTTGCTGCAAATATTCTTTGAAACAAACCGTTTTCAGTATAGACGTTGTTTAGAAACACTGAAATGATGTAGACGTTAGTAGAGCAGTAGTGTGTTTTATTATTTCAATATCGGTTGAAACCATTTTATATTATACGTCATTGTGTGATACGGATGATGCGTGGTATAGTAGGCCAAAACCTCCTTTACTAAGGAGAGGTTTATGTTCAGCAGTGGACTGTTATAGGCTGTTGATGATGAATATACTTTTAAAAACAATAAATGTATCGTAAGTCTTATATCTAGTCTTATTTATCAGAATCGAGAAACTTTCTGTACTTATGCTCTAAATAGTAGTTTGTCGGTTTTATTTACTGTTCTTTTGGAATATTATCTACATTAGTACGTAATACTGTCCTAGAAATGTGTTTCTGTAGATTATATTATCTATGAAATAACTATTAGACTTTATTATGTTAGTTATTATCACTTTATATTTGAGTTTGGATTAGTTACGGAATCAGAAGTAGCAGGACAGTGTCTCGCAAAAATTGATGTAGACTCTCTCGAAAAGATTGAGTAAAAAAATTTTTTTTTTCAGAATCTGACTAAGTATGTAATTTAGTTACTTATTTTGTCATTGTCAAGTGTTCAAAAAGAAACGAATCTTACCTCATAAATTCCCGCCATCGCAGTTCAACCGTAGTGTTTCCATAGCACTTGGACATTCTTATTTATTTACTTACTTATTGAAAAATTAAAACTAGTAACCGGGTGCTCTTGCCTTCGTCTTAAAATATAGATATATTTATATACTTACATCGAAGTAACTCTTCAAGAACGGAGGGCTTTCAGAATTTGGTCGAGGTCTGTCAGCCTGGATTCCAGCCTTTTAGTTTGAAATTTCTATACATATCTTTTGGTGATTACATAAGTTTGAATTGCACGGTAGTTTGAATACATTATTAGCACATTTTGTAATAAATTGTACACTATTTATAAGTCCAGTATACAATAGATAGCGAAGTATTAATTAAAGATCTTGTACCTCGGTACTGTAATATTTAGGGAATTCAGAATTGCTGTCGGTATTTTCGGTTCAAATCTTGAATAATAGAACTATTGAGCCAGAAACGTATTATTTATTACAACAATAGTAGCTTGGATTACAAACTGCCCTGCTGATTGCCTATAATATATCGCACATTCGAAGTCACAAACCTAGTAAATCTGTCTCAGAACTTTTGACTTTACTTAACATAGGTTTACTAATTGTCAAAGCAATCACCATCATCTTTTTGCTTCGCATTCCTACTATCTTTTCGACTTTTTTTTATGGTATAAGGGGGCAAACGAGCAGATGGGTCACCTGATGGTAAGCAACTACCGCCGCCCATGGACATCTGCAACTCAAAAGTCACAAGTGCGTTGCCGCCCTTGGAGTCACTCTCGCTCGAGTTCGAGCTCGAGGTTTGGGCTCCGGTAACCTAACTCACACAGTGGCTCTCCCACAGGGTGATAAATATGCGAAACATGATGACAACATTGAGTTGAGAACTATTTTGAAATAACGGTAACCATAGTTACCCGGAATCCACTTTTAAGATTAAACCGACAGAATGGGTAAAACCCCTTAAAAACTATTTTCTCTAGGTTCTATATATAAATTGTTCTTCAACAGCCCGTCCTTCACCGCCACGGAACTGCACAGCCAAACGTGTCCAGACAAGTGTGGAACCGTACCTATCCGTCAAATGCATGGCTGGGTACGATGGAGGTTTGACCCAACACTTCACCCTGGATGTACTCGGGGAAAATAGCAGAGTTCTGGCAAATGTAACGGCTAGTTATATTGGTGAGTTTTTATTTAATGAATTTCTTTTATAACTTTTTTCGTCTAGGGTTTTCAGATTCCGGTTTACCGGAGGACCTTGTGGTATAATCCGTGTGGTGACGGATTAAGAATACGGAATGTCACCACGCCTATTCATCCCGTGGGTGTCGTAAGAGCCGACTAAGGGAACAAACTGCACAGGACAACAGCATGCAGCAGTGTATGGACAAAACCTCAGTAGCAAACAAGTATCAAAGAATAATTCAAAAATAAATGTAATAACCATAGGAAAACTTTGATTCGTTCTCAAACAATGCCATTTAAGGATTCTTCTCCTAAATATGCTTCAAATACAAACAATATTACTATCCATTACAACGTATATTTCTCAGTAAACGTTTTGAGTGCTATTAAACCCATGAAAACAAAAATGATTTAATATTTATAAAGCCATCCACTGCAGTGTTAATTGCTTCATCGTGGAATATCATCCTGCAATATGGACGTCAAAACGTCTGTTTACGTTAACAAGAGATAATTGGAATAAGGCATGTTACATGTGTTCTGAATACTGTATGAAGGTAATAAATTGGTTTCGATAAATCTGAATTGAACTGCGGGTTACGATTCGTGGAAAAATTCACGAGAGAACACAAATAATAGTTTTAGCTTTGAAGGCATGTACATATATATGTATGGTCGTGGGTTCGATTCCCACCCAGGACAAATATTGTGTGATGAGCACGATCATTTGTTCTGTGTCTGGTTGTAATTTATCTATAATATGTATGTATTTAAAACTATATAAGTATGTTTATCAGCAGTCTGGTTACCATAGCACAGGCTCTGCCTAGTTTGGGATCAGACGGCCCTGTGTGAGATGTGTGAGGTATATTCTCTTTTATCACACAGTTTTGTTTCTTCTTAGTTACTAATCCAATAACTCTCAGGATTATCATTTTACCAGGACTAACTTAATGTTGGAACTAAGTAGATTTTAAAGACATGGTATTTGATCCCAGTTTACGTTTAGTTTAGGTCCTAGCGTAACTTACAAAGAAAATGTTATGAAATAGTGAATATTGAAATAGTTAGCAGTGCGAGAATATATCGCCTATGTCACCTGCTGCAGACTACTGGTCATCAACTCCAGTTTCCTTTACACATAACCTCTTCTAAAAATCAGGTAATAGAATTGCATTTGAAACTGATGATCTACCCAGCGTCTTAACTCGTATATGTTACGTTACTTACCTGAAATATTTTTAGTTAATGTACAATTTAAATCCAAAAATGTAATTTATATTGATACAACTATTCGTATTCAGTTAAATTAATTGATTTTTATGGATTACATTGTTACAAAGAATTTTTAAATAATAATAATAATATTGTAATATTATACTACATTTACACAACGCCATCTAGTCCCAAACATTTTTAAGGTACGGAAAGTAATAATATACAGAAATATGTAGAATATATCCTACGTTCCAGAGGAAACTTAAATATTATTATTGGAATGTCTTTTAAAATATAATGTCACATACATGGTTACGTATTTACTTCTTATTCAACAGATAATGTGTGCATAAAGATCAGTATGCATGAGAAAGAGAAAAGGAATGATCAAATATGCAACGGGAGTGTAGTTAATAAAATAAAAAAAATGTCAAATTTAGTATTAGTTGTGTTTTAGTAGAAGGTAGACTCTGAATTTTTTTTATCTCTGACAATTTATTTCTTTGTTGAATGTTTCACGACTGGAACAGACTAAAATGATGTTAATGCAGAGTAGGTCCTGTAAGGATATAAAGTTGCTATTAAAAATCTTGAGATATCAAAAAACTATTAGACTATTTTGAAGTTGTGTTACTTCCATTTCTTAGGATATTGGTAATTCTACCGTTTTCATTGTTATTAAATTACTTGGTTAAAAACAGCCTGCAGCGTACGTCCTGAGAATAAATAACAGTTAGTCGGGTAGGTTGACCGACAGAATGGTTTTATTGTGGAAACCCCAGCTTTCTTTAGTGAATATAAAGTATACAACGTCACGAGGGCGTGTACAACGTCAGGCCATACCTAAGCGTCGAGTCTGAAAACGTCAAGCGCCCATCTTGAGTGAGGTTTTTACACGGCGGGTAATATTGCTGTTCCGTGTGGTGACGGATTAAGAATACAAATTGTCACCACCCCAATTCATTCCGTGGGTGTCGTAAGAGCCGACTAAGGGAGCAAACTATACAGGACAACAGCACTGCAAAGAGAAGAAAAACTTGAAACAAACCCTATACCAACCCGTCTGGCCAGCGTGGTATAGTAGGCCAAAACCTCCTTTCTAAGGAGAGGCCTATGTCCAGCAGTGAACTAGTATAGGCTGTTGATGATGATTGATGTGAATATTGCTTTGACCTTTGATATATGTAAAGTGAGTTCATTCAGTTTCGGAGATGGTGGTGGTGGATAAACCATACCGTACCATTTTAATAGAACTGCTGTGTGTTCAACTTAGATAGTTAGTCTTGTAATAAATATTTGGAAGTACTCGGGTTTTACATAAATGGCTACGTTATGGCGTTTTCTGTAACTATACATGTGAATTTGATTCTTGTACATTTTCCATTATGTTAAAAATGTAAAATTAAGATAACACAAAAACATAATTATCAAATTCATCGAAATTTTGAAACACCAAAATAGTAGTACTAAACGTTTTGTGAGCTCCTGTCTGGTTTGATCCATCAAAGTCTGCAATGACTCTTGGAATATTTAAGAGTAGAGAAAATACGTTTCCACTAGATAGATGAGTACCACCACACGAGTACACCATATTTTGCATTTACTCGTACATCGTCACATTTTATCAGGTCAGTTGGTACACAGACGCTTTTTCCATCGTTTACTACGAACAAAAACAAATCAAAAAATCTATTGCTTTGAAAATATAAATCAAGAAAAACGAATGGAATGACATGTAAAATTCTGTCAAACAATCAAGGCTATGGCCTTTATGTATACCTATATATATATATATATATATATATATATATACTTGCCGCCAGAGAGTGGAAAATTCCGGCGGCAAAATACGAGATTTTTTTAGTGCGTTTATACAAAAGTTCAAAAAACATCTCTCCGTCTACACTCGGTAAAAATGTAAATTCTTAATTAGCCTATAGTTTTTATTATTTAAAATTGCATATAAGTCATTTAAAATTGTTTCTTACTCTAGATCTGGTGATATGGTTCAACGTGTCCTGGACGATGCTGGATTCACTCGAAGAGGATGAAGAACTGACAGTAACAGCGCGTAATAGCAAAGGGTCATCCGATCCTGTTATTTTAAGTGACCTGGTGTTTAGAGACACAGAAAAGAGAGCAGGTGAGTAGATTAAGACTCAATTTACAATTTATTATACATATATGGATCATAAAATTTAAAAAACTATAAATCAAATGTTTATACATAGTTAAAAAAACACACTGCTTTTTATTTAATTTCTATGTTTGACAAAAGAAAGTATCTAAGCATAGTTATGCCAAAATCTGGAATAAATTGTCTGCCAGACAATTCTCACTTCTCTCCTCTGAAATGAGGTTTTCGACTACTATACCACGCGTGCCAGAAGGGTTAGTATAGAGTTTGTTTCGAGTTTTCCTTCCCTCTGCAGTGCTGTTGTCCTGCGTATTTCGCTCCCTTAGTCGCCTCTTACGACACCCACGGGATGATACTTAATAATTAGCGAACCACTATTGTTTTCAATATTTTTTGAAAAATAATTGATATTATTTAGTTAGGTAATGACGACCGAATGGCGTAGTGGTTTGTGTAACGGACTGCTATTCCAAAGGTCGCGGGTTCGATTCCCGCTCAGGTCAAGCATTTGTGTGCATGAACATTTAATGTTTGATTTGGTCTGGGTGTTTCTATGTATAATATGTATGTATTTACAAAAAAAAAAGTATATATGTATTTATATCAGTTGTCTAGTACCCATAGTACAAGCTCTGCTTAGTTTGGGACTAGATGGCGTTGTGTGAATGTGGTAGAATATTAAAAAAAAAAAAAAAAAAAAAAATGTTGTATGTTACTAATAAATTTTAATGAATTCAAGATTAATGAAGAATCGGCAGCCACACAATCCCTTAACCATCCACTTTTGTGAAGTTCCGCGACGGAGATTATGCTTTTTACAAGATAAATGATGTAAATAACATCCTCAAACTTTTAGTATTTTCTAAACAACCTTAACGTTTTTAAGTTTTTAATTAAAACACACTTTTCAGTTTATTTATTTTTTAAATTTGTTATCATCGCATAATCATCAATCACAATATTTCTAGGACTATGTCCCTCGCCCTACTTACCCTAGGTTCCTATCCCAATTTTCTTCTTTCTCTTTGTCCCGGTTGAAAACAATTACATTCATAGAGATCAGACAAATTAAATTTTAAAAGATGATGTTGATAATTATGATAAAAATGTTTTCCTATGATTTTTTTATGTTTTTAATGATAAAAATAAAAATGGTGAATCTCGTTTTAAGTGACGTTCAATAATAAAATCTCTACTTAAAATTAGTTTTAAGACTACGAGACACCTTTTAAAATATGGGCCTAAGTCTCAAAAGGATCGCTACTTTAACTTAAACTGCGAATATATTTTAAAAGTTTCAAAATTATAATTTTATTATTATAAAGGTTAATCAGCTACACCAATACATATCCCAATAAATAGTACGTTAAAAAAACAAGTCAGCTAATTACAAATTAACACCACAAGCTCATAAACCAGTTTACAATTAAAATAATAATAATAATGGAGATTACTTAACTAAACCTATAATACATATTTGATTGATCAGTCCTATTCAAAAATATCTTTAAATCAAAACAATTTTTAACTTACAGTTTATAAAGTCATAAAAGTAATTCATCATCATCAACAGCTGTTACTAGTCCACTGCTGGACATAGGCTTCTCTTTAGAAAGGAGGTTTAGGCTTAGGTAATTAAACAGTAACAATACCAAGTATTTGACAGAATCAGATCCGTGTAATGACGGATTAAGAATACAGAGTGTTACCACCCCTATTCATGCCGTGGGTGTCGTAAGAGCCGACTAAGGGAAAAAACTACGCAGAACAACTTGACACAAACGAGAAGGAAAACTTGACACAAACCCTATACCAACCCGTCTGGCCAGCGTGGTATAGTAGGCCAAAACCTCATTTCTAAGGAGAGGCTTATGTCCAGCAGTGGACTTAAAAACATTTCAAAAATGTTCTTTAATTTAGTGTAATTTCGCCTATTATTAATTTATTTATTGTTTTAATATTTTTTATCGCACAGAGAGCACAACGCGAGCTGAGACCAAGTTCCCGGCTGCAGCTGCGTTGGCAGGACTTGCTGCCATTCTAACAGCAGCAGGCGCTATGATTGTTCTGGCAATGCGGAGGTAAGCATATTAACAACGGAACGGTTTAGGCAACAACAAGGATTAATTAAAGCTGCCCAGGAAACACAATTGCAAGTCTGCAAATCATCTGTTCTATTTATTAAAAGTCGGAAATTTCTTTGAACTAAAAAGTAAAGCAATCACAAGTCTAAGTTTATTGGACACAATAATTTTAAAATAATTAACTCTTAACATGTTAATTTCTAATATCAATGAAAAATTATGACGTTCCTTGTTCTTACCTCTGTCGTAACAATCAGGACATAGGTACTTGATGATTTTCAAACGGTCGAAAAAGTTTAAATGTCTAATTACTTTTGGCGCGCTTTCTTTAAATTTTTTCCTAGGCTATCGCAGCGCCACCCTTATAGGACGCGTTTTTACGCACACTTATTCATACACAGAGACGGTTCTCCTAACCCCTACCCTCCATATTTAAAATGAAAGAGGTCTATTCGTATAGGAGCTATGAGCCACAGACTGCTTGTCTTTTCTTCCGTAACAGCGGCAAACTAGCTAAACTAGCAAACTAGCTAAACTAACTAACTTACTTTTGACTGCACGGATTGCGTAGTGGTTTAAGCGGTCGCCACGCCGCTTCCTATTGCGCCGAGTGTTGTGGGTTCAAACCCCACATGGGATAACACTTTGTGTGATCCACAAATTGTTGTTCTGAGTCTGTTTGTACTTTGTGTCCGTTTCATGTATGTTTGTAAAGTCCCCCGCGACACAGGATTTATTCCTAGTGCGAGAGTTGTCTTTTAAAAAAGAAAAAAAAAAAGTTAAAAGTCACAAGTGCGAAGCCTTTCCATAAAGCTCATAATGAGCCGAAGCATAGCTGGCTCCCGCTTAGGTTATAGGATTAAATACACATTACCTTAACGTAAGTACCTTAGAAAATATTAATTAAAATCCTACCAAAAATATAATACTTTAGATACATCTTACACTTTTCTCTCGATTAGTTGGAAAATACAATTCCAACTTCGTGTTAAAATTTTCTAGTCTGAAATCTAAAATTCAGTAGAGCAAACACTATTTATAGGTGGATATATTCATGAATAAAAACATTAAACTATAGTTTTAAGCGCCTGTCAATAAAGTTACTTTCATAATTAAACTTACTTCGTACACATTTCTACAGTAATTCTGACAGGCCTCGAATAATTGGTGTGCTTTAAATTTTATATTAGGTAAGTACCAGTGCAAATGTCATTTTAATAGTTAATTTAAACTTATCTTTATCTATCAAAATCTGAAGGCTTAGTTGATCGTGGGTTTAATACAGACATAAGTATAAGATACTTTGATTAATACAATTTGCCAGAAAATTTTGTGGAATATAACAGACGAAGGTTAGAAGGACTTCAATAAAATGTTATTATTACCTCTGAATACGTCGGCTTTTTTAAATCTAATTTCAATAACTGAAGGTATTGACAATAATTTACTATATTTAATAATAAAATCACCGAGGAAGAGCCATGCTTCAACACAAATGAAACGGCTCGACTGGAGTGATTCCACGGCCTCGCATGAAACAGAGGACAGATAGCGCGTTTTGCGTTGTGATTAATAGAGATTTCAGTGCGGGACAATCGCAATTCCGAACGCTGTCACCCCACCGTGACGAGCGAGTTGGTGTGAAATAAACTCCCACTTGGCCCTCTGGTATTAAGAAAGTCTTTCGTTGATTTTTACCGAGTGAGTGAGGTTACCGAAGTATACATTCGAAGTGAGAAAAAGACAAGTATAAGGGAAATTTTAAATGGTCATCAAAACTGTGTATAACGTGCTGCCTAACGCAATAATTATAGCTAACTGTGAAACTTAGTGTGCTGGCGAATTGCCAAGCAACCTAGGTAGGATTACTAAATTGAGTAACTCTGTTACTGAATCGACATCTCTAAAGTTGACTTGTATCTAAAATGTAATTAGCCTTCAGGGAATGTTGATAACGTAGACTATACGTATGAGTTGTTGTAAAAAGCTCGTATATATTCCAAATAAGGCTCTACAGTCCTAATAATAAATGTCTGTCTGACCACATCTACTACTTGTCTTAGAGACCCTTAACTCTAGAAACCTTTTTTGCTTAGAAAAATATATTAATCACGCTCTCAAGTAGTTAAATGAAATGTTGAAAAAAAACGCCTCAAGAGAATATGATTTTGTTCTCCACTATCTCGTAGCTTGGGGTATTGCTGGATGTCTTGTAAAGACATGTCTTGTCTTGGGTCGATCCCCTTTTTTTTTTTTTTTTTTTTTTTTCCGTGCGGAAATCCCCTCGGATACCACCTGTCGGTGGCATGTCGGACTCGAACCGACTAAAACCGCACGCCTTCGCCGGGTACTAATAGCCGGGGAACCAGGTATACCCTAGAAAGGAAGTCCCTGGTGCCCCGACATACCTCGGGTCATCTACAGATGAGTAGACGACCCCCCCCAGTGTGGGAACCCCATGTTCCCTGTGCTCCCTGGAAGCGAGCGCGCTTCGCAACGCGCTCGCCGCCACCCCGGCCTGCTTCTGCTAGGGTGACAGATGGCCTCACCTGTCACCCCCAGGCCAGCCAATCCTCCATAACGGGTCTTACCGGCGTGCCGTGCGGCGTGCCCAGCGCTCGGTTGCCCGAGTCGTTCCCTCCACTCCCCTATGATGACCTGGCGGAGTTGGGATTTCCGGTCATCGATTTCTCGAATCTCGGGGCATCGACCCAACTCCTGCGCCTCCTTGCGCCACTGATACAGTGCCGAAAGGGCTCTCGCCTCCAGGTCCCACGGTGGAGTTCCGGCCAGGAGACTCGCTGCCTCAAAGGAGATCGTGCGGTACCCCCTTATGATCCTGATGGCCAGCATTCGTTACGGTCGTCGCAGTATCGCGACGTTGCTGGCCTTCAGGGCCCCCGCCCATACTGGGCACCCGTAAAGGGCCATGGACCGCACAACCCCCGAGTAGAGTCTCCTGCAGGAGTCATCGGGTCCCTTCATGTTGGGCAGCAGCCGCGCCAACGCACGCGCTGCCCCAACCAACTTGGGGACCAGACCTCGGAAATGATATCCGAAGTCCCATCGGCCATCGAGTACGAGCCCCAGATACCTGATCGAGGGCTCGATGCCGATGCGAGTGCCTCCTACCGTGAGGCTAGATCCCTCAGGCGGCTTCCTCCGAAGCCCGTGGAAGAACAGGGCCTCGGACTTGTGCAGAGCCACCTCGAGACCCAGCCGCCGGATACGCTCAACGACTTGGGCAACCCCGGCCGTGGCCCTCAGGGTTGCCTAGTGGTGCGTCTTGCCGCGCGCCGTCACGAGTGTGTCGTTCGCGTAGCACACGACGGCGACACCATCCAAGAAGGCACCACGAAGCACCCAGTCGTAGCCGATGTTCCACAAGAGTGGCCCTAACACCGACCGAGACCGGTCCTACTGGGGTAGACGACGGATCTCTCCTACAAATATGCCCCGACTATGCGGCGGAGGTAGAGAGGCACTTCGTGATACACCAGCGCCTTCCTGATGCAGCTCCAGGGCATAGTGTTGAACGCGTTGGCGATGTCCAAGGACACCGCCAACACCACTTCGCCCCGGGAGACTGCTTCCTCCACCAGAGCCTTCACGCGCATGATCGCATCCACGGTGGAGCGCCCCTGACGGAAACCGTACTGGTTGTCCGCCAGATTCGGCTCAACCATCACGAGATGCTTGACGAGGCGCCTTGCAATCACTCTTTCAAAGAGCTTGCACACCTCGTCAAGCAACACTATGGGCCGGTAGGCGGACGGTGAGTCCGCCGGGCGCCCCTCCTTTCGGATGAGGACCAGTTTCCCCGTCCTCCACAATTTCGGAAACTGGCCCCGCTCGAGGCATGCGCTGAAGAACCCTCGCAGTCGGGGCTCGAGAGCCTCGTCGACTAAGGCCAGGACCCACGCTCGGCCAGGAATGCCATCGGGTCCCGGGGCGGTGTTTTTGGCTTTAAGCCGTAACACCGCCACCCTTAGTTCCACCCCAGTGACCTCAGGCACGTCGTCGTCATCCACGTTAGGCGCCTCAAGCGCCGGAGGCGGAGCCATCTGTGGCGGAGTATGCTCCACCACTCGCGTTGGGAACAGGGAGCCAACGACCCTCTCAAGCAGCTCTGGCTGACGACACCGTGTGAGCGGCGGGGCCCATGGGCGCATCTTGCCCCTAACCATACGGTAGGGGCGTCCCCACGGATCCCGCTCCAGTGTCTCCAGCATCTCGCGGCGGGCCTCGCTCTTAGCCCGCTTTATCGCTGCCTGAAGGGTCCTCTTGGCAACCCTGTAACCCGCTAACAGCTCCGCCTCTCTCGCTGCCGCATCTTCGGGGCGGCGACGCCTCCTGCGGAACCTGGACCACTGGCGGCGCGCGGTCACGCAGGCTTGACGCAGCCGTGCGATCTCCGGCGACCACCAGTAGACCTGGCGCCTCGCAGTATTGGGCTGAGCCCTAGGCATCGCCGCATCGCAGACGCGGGTCATGGCCTCCCGGAACCACTGTGCTTCAGCATCGACGTCGACAGGCCTGTCCGGCGCAGGAGCCCAGGCCTGTACGATGGCGGCTTCCAGGAGGAGGTCGCGATCTAAGCGCTTGAGCGCCCAACGTGGTTCAGGTGGTGCCGGTCTGACTGGCGCGCCATCTGCAGGGGCGGAGACGTCAAACCGAATATATCGGTGATCCGAACCTGTCTCCTCCCCGACAACGACGCGCCAGCCTTGGACACGACGCGCTAGCGAGGGGCATGCGAATGAGATGTCCACGATCGAACTACCCCTCGCCGTCACGAACGTGGCCACGGCCCCCCGGTTTAGGAGAACTAGGCCGAATCTTTCAGCCCAGTTCTCCAATGCCCTGCCCCTCGGATTCGTGCACAGGGAACCCCAAGCCTGCGACCAGGCGTTGAAGTCCCCCAGCACAAGAACCGGGTGGGGGCGACAGGCATCGACGACGACGGCCAGCTGAGCGAGCCATTGCTCGTACTCAGTTAGGTTTCGGTTCGGCGTGAAATAAGTGGCCACGACCGCTATATCTCCAACTATCGCCGCTACACAGCCCCGTCCCATAGCACAGCACTCCACCCCTTGCAACTACTGCAAGGGGTGGAGTGCCGGCTGCGGTACCGTGCACCAGGGCCACCGTGCCGTCCAAGTCGGTCTCCCAGGCAGGCCCGAGAAACCGATGGACATATGGCTCGGCGATAGCGGCGATGTTGATGGACCACTGTGCCATGCTCTGGAGCAGAAGATCCTGAGCATCGGCACCGTGGCCTACGTTCACCTGGAGGATGCGGAGATGTGGATCCATCACTGGACTTCCATCCCCGCATCCCGCAGCGAACTTTGCTGCTGTCCAGCTGCACTCCCCGTCTGGATCAGCGGCCCGGAGGCGGAAGGTCGGCCTCCCGGCTTCGGTCCTGATAGGGCACAGGCCTTACCACCAACCCGGTGGTCGGCAGGCTTGCCCCCCGCTGCGCACCTAAAGCAACGCAGCGGAGCGTTGCAGCCACCCGCCTTGTGACCGGGCTGGCCACAGCGGAAGCATCGGTCACCTACGGTGGCCTCCGCCGTGCAGTGCACCCCTACGTGCCCCACCGACAGGCACCTGAAGCACCTTGCCGGCCGGGCCTGCAGGAGTCGTGCCTGCGCCCTCAGGAAACCTCCGACCAGGAGGCTCCGTCCATCGGCGACCTTCTGGGCCGCCGCGATGGGGCAGCTGACAACCGCTGCCCCCTGTCCACTGGGGCCGAAGCGTATTGCTCCGGCCTTCACGCTGTCCAGAGGGCAGCTTCCCGTCTCCGCCACGGCGAGTCTGAGCTCGTCCGCCGTGACAGAGTCGTCCAGGCCCGTGATGCGGACTTCGGCGCATTTAGTGGGCCTGGACACTCGGACGTCAGCTGCATCCAGTGACTCCCTCAGCTTAGCCGCTAGGGCATCGGCTTTGGGGCCACTGGTAGCGCCGGCTACCTCGGGGAGCCGGGCTCCCGTCCGTGTGTTTTTACACCGGACGCCCGGAATCTCGAGGGCTTTGAGGTCCACGTTGGCCTTGACTTTCGTCAAGACCTCGGCGTACCTCACGCCCCTCTCCGCTGCCTCCGCCGTCAAAGTGATAACGACGGCCGAGGAGCGAGGGGCGCGGAGCTTCCTCGGCGCTCCCTTCGCGGCGGCGGCGGCGTCCCTCCTCGCTTTCTTGGCCGCTTTTTTGGCGGCCTTCCGCCTCTTTTTGCTGTCCCCGGCCACCGTCCAGCCCCGCTCCAACGGGCGCTGTGCGGTGTCAGCCGGGGCCGAGACTGGGGCTTGAGTTGGGGCCGCCTTCCCCCTCCCTTTGCCCTTTCCGGCCTTCTGGGGCGGGGGCGCTGATGACGGCCCAGCCACCCTAGCTGCTGGCTGGGCTGTTAGGCCCGCCCTGGCAGCGGCCGCATAGGTTGCCCTTGGCGGAGCCAGAGGTGGGCGACAACGGGCCCTCTCTACTGCGGAGATGCGCCTCATTATCCGCTCCTCCATCTCCGCCATGAGTCGGACTAAGCCCGGCTCCGGCTCCGGGGCGGACAGCGCCAACGGTGCCGAAGGAGCTGGTGTGGCACCAGCGCGGGCACGAGCCTGTGCGAGATCCGCCTCGAGGCGGGCTCTCTCCCTAGCGTGGGCCTTGCTCTCGGCCACGAGGAGTCTGCCCGCCTCAATTATGGAGCGCACGACCGCTACCAGGGCCTCCTGTTGGGGGCCCCCGGCCAACCCGGACGTCGGAAGCAAGCAATCGGCCTCGCCGATTGCCTCCTCAATCCGGTCGACGGGATTGCCGGTTTTGCCACCCTCCTTCTCGCTCCTCACCTCGGTCACGTCTATCGACCTCTCGGACGCAACCCTCTTCACGGGAGCGTAGGAGCGTAGGGGCTTCTTCTTCTGCTCCTGGGCAACCCTAGGGAGTCGGCCTCCGCCGCGAGCGCCTCTGCGGCTTGTGCCGACTTTTGGAGCCGTGACGTCATCGCTCGAGGCCGACTCCAATTGCCTCTTCAGGCCAAGGCGAAGCGAGCGCCTTTTGCGCTTTGGAGTACCCTTCTGGTGCTGCTCCGCAGCTGAGACCATCGGGGTACTCGCTTCGCTCATCTCTGAGGCAGTGTCGGTGTTCGACACTACCTCCAGGTTTTTTGCGTCCTCCGCGTTATTTTGGGTGCCGGATTTACTGCTCGGCGACGGGCAGGTTTGACAGAGGTTGCTCCCCCCAGAGTACGTTTGGGAGCTGCCGGAGCCGTCTGGCTCCGGGAGGGATTCTCCAGACGCAGTGCGTCTGGTACCCTCCTGGGTAGATTTATTAATCTTTGGGCCCATGTCATGAAATTAGTTTAACGTCCTTCGACGGGGACGCCTTCGGCACTGGACTCCCTCCAGCGACTCAGCCCCTTGCCAGGCGTCAGAACGTGGGCTTAGAGCATTTTTTATAGAGGTTTACGTCCTCGCGGATCCGAAGATCCACCGGTCCTGTCCATTCAGGATTATGGCTGGGCCGGACGGGGTCTGCACCAGACCGGGTCCGTCCGCCCCAGGGTTTTTTATAGAGGTTGCCTTCCTCGTAGCCCTCGAAGAGGCGCCATTCCTGACCGTTGCCAGTCAGGGTTACGACATGGCCGGACGGTGGTCTGCGTCAGACCAGTGTCCCCCACCTCTTGACAGAGCCAGCTGCAGTGGACCCGTCCGCCCCCAGCCCGCTCTCCCCTATGCCCTCTGCCAAACAGAGGGACACGCGGAAAGCAGCCCTCCGAACAGCCCTTGACGGGCCATTCCCACCTCGGCCGGAATTGGCCGCAGGCGGCAGCGCCTCCCCCACTTAGGGAGAGAGGCGCTGCCGTCTCCGTTGCCCAGGGTGCACCACAAGGAGGTTCCGGACCACGCACCCCTGGGTCGATCCCCTGGCGTTACGTAGAGATGTGGCTTCTTCCGCCGCAACTTTCCGCCATAGTTCCACACGGCAAAATTTTCATCCTGATCACCTGGATAGTTGGCGTTCCACTACTGTGCGCTTTTCGAGACACTTTTTGCCCCGCACAACCTGCTTGGCTCGGCTGCCACACCGCTTACTACTACGCTGACTGTTGTGAGTCCGATTCCCACATGGGACGACACTGTGTGATCCACAAATTGTTGTTCTGAGTCTGGGTGTTCTTTGTGTCCGTTTCATGTATATTTCTAAAGTCCCCCGCGACACAGGATATATTCCTAATGCAGGAGTTGTCCTTTTAAAATAAATAACAAAAGAAAACGAGGTATTTCCTTAAGCTTTTCTAAATATGTAAATTTATTATGCAAGTTTAAGAGTAAGGAGATATTTGTCCATAATCTGAATATGTATGTTTTTTTCTGTAAATCTAGGCGCAGTGAAACTACTTCGAGCAGCAAGCGGCCCTCACAAAGTGTGGTGCAAGTCGACGCCCAAGGCAGACGGTTCCTTATAGCATATCCAGCTCCTGTTGATAAACTGGAGACGAAGCCAGATATACTGAACCCTAAGTCAGGTAAGTAAGACATGTATTCTTTGACTAAAATGATTTACTTGTTTACTTATTTGCAGCCCTTCTTTCTCTTCTTGTACCTTTGTATCCAACCATAGATAGATAGATAATACTTTTTTTTGTACACCAGGCTTTGACAGAAATTATAAAAAAATAAAACGTACAAATTTAATGTATAAATTGCAGCCGTTTGCTTAGAGTAATTTCTTTCAGGCAACCTTTGGATGGAGTGGATTCATTTTGAACTGGTGATAGGTATATAAAAGTTCGAGCAATAAATAAGGTCTCGACCTATGAAATCTACATGATTTAGATATTGATGGCACATATGGATCTTAAACAATATTATTGCATAATTTTCCCGACTTTTTCACATTATATTCGGGGTCGGCGGAAAGTCATATCTTAGAAGATTTTGAATAGTTTCTGTTATGCCCGACCACCTGCCCGACGCCTACTCTACTTAGTAATGTTAATGTTTTTAGAATGTACAAAGGTAGAAGGCAGATTGGGGCAAAGAAAACAGATAAGGTGTAGGAGTTAGAATATTCAAGTAAAATGATTTGTGGAAAAGGGTTTGATATCACAATATTGTTCTAAAACTTACTAACCTAAACTAAAAATCACAAGTACTTAGTTTATTCCTGTAAAATACCGCTTCGTATTCTAAAAATGTAGGAATAAACTATATTTAGTTTGATACAAATAAAATTAACAAAATAATACGTACGTCCGTCGTGTCGCAGGTTTAAGTAGTCACTTCGCCGCTTCCTACCGCGCTGCGTGTTGTGGATTCGATTCCCATATTTGACAACACTTTGTGTTATTCACCCATTGTTGTTCTGAGTCTGGGTGTTTTTGTGTTTGTTTTATGAATGTTCGTAAAGCCTCCACCTGACACAGGATACATTCTTAGTTCGGGAATTATTTGTAAAACCCTTATAAAAAAAGAAAAACTCGAGTTTATCATTATCACTAAATATTAAATTTAAAAGAAAAGTGCAAGTATAATAACAGAACTAATTGGACCATAACTTTACTGTATTTTACTTCATTATTTCTGATCTAAATAAATAATTCGTATTAATTCTTCTCTAGATAACGAGCCTCCGCGAGTGGTTCTGGAGTCCACCGACAGCAAGAATTACAGCATCAGAGATGCGAACTGCGAACCACACAAATCAGCTTACAGCCCGCCATCTACAGCAGAAAATATGGTAAGGTATCTTTGATGACATCAGACTTGGCCATTATACTTCGATCAGGTTTTCTAAAACATCTATGTTGAATGTATTTACGTTTAGTTTACAGCTATATTTACATATAGCAACTTGGTCTCACCTTATAAGCAAAGTACCTTTAAAAATAATTCGGCTTGAATACGATCACCCTTTTTTTTTTTTCGTGCGAAATATCCCCTCGGATACCACCTATCAGTGGCATGTCGGACTTGAACCGACTAAAACCGCACGCCGTCTCGGGTACTAATAGCCGGGGAACCAGGTATACCCTAGAAAGGAAGTCCCTGGTGCCCCGACATACCTCAGGCCATCTACAGACGAGTAGACGACTCCCCCCCGTGTGGGAAACCCATGTTTCCTCTGCTCCCTGGAAGCGAGCGCGCTTCGCAACGCAGTCGCCGCCACCCCGGCCTGCTTCTGCTAGGGTGACACATGGCCTCACTTGTCACCCCCAGGCCTGCGCTTATGGAGGACGGAGGTCGTTCTGCGACCTCCGGCGCCTGAGTCGCCTGCGGTACCTGGCCCGTTCCCGGGCCTGGCGGGCCGGGAGAGTTCTAAACCTCTCCCGGTCCCCGCTCTCCCCTGCCGTCTCCTTCGCGAGCATAACTTGCTCACGGAAGGAGACGGCAGAGTTCCACGCATTCTCGCTCCTCACGATAGCCGCAATCAGGTTATCGAGCGAGAGAACTCCCACTCCGATGATCGCCATGAGGTCTCGCCTCTGCTCAACCCACGCCGGGCACTCTGCCAGCGTGTGGAGAGCCGTGTCCACGGTCTGGCCATCGCAGTGGTGGCACTCAGGCGTTGGCTCCTTGCGGATCAGACATAGGTGATCCCCGAAACATCCTTTTCCAGTGATCACCTGCGTCAGTCGGTATGAGAGGGTCCCGTGACGCCTTTCGAGCCAATCCTCCATAACGGGTCTTACCGCCGCGATGACGGCGTGCCCGGGAATACGATCACCCTCAAACATATTACTATCACATCACATCATCATCAAAAGCCTTTAATAGTCCACTGCTGGACATATGCATCTCCTTAGAAAGAAGGTTTTGGCCATACCACGCTGGCCAGACGGGTTGGTATAGGGTTTGTGTCAAGTTTTCCTTCTTTTTGCAATGCTGGTGTCCTGCATTGTTTTGCGCCCTTAGTCGGCTCTTACGACACACACGGGATAAATTGGGATAGTGACATTCCGTATTCTTAATCCGTCACAACACGGAAATATTACTATAATTACCTAAAATAGTCAAAGAGCTCGAGTATGGCCTGCGAGAATTTTTATAAGCTAGTACTTAGTTAAACTAAACTACTTATAATTAGATTAGTTTCTTAAAACATATTTCTGTACGATTATAAAATAATATTCCAAACATTGGTAGATAAAAAATAACCCCTGTAAGAGTTATTTTTAGCTCTTTTACTTTAAGAACAATAGAAATTTGTGAAGTAACCCAGTCTTTATTAGAAGCCTTTGAACATTCCAATATAGATTTTTTTACGATCGTTTAAATGTCAGAAAACAGCACTTTATAGCTCTCGTTAATTAAAGCTTTACTATATTGCTTGGAAATATTGTTTCTCGAAATTTAGGGGATCATAAAATTGTTTACGTTCGCTGAGATTTCGTGGGTAGACTGTTATTGTAGAAATAAATTTTGTTATTAATTTTGGTTTTCCTTTTGTAGATTTAAATTGTACATTGGATATTTTCTAGTAGTGAGTTAGAACTCGATTTAACATTCGTCATCCATCCATCCGTATTCGTCCTGTGGGTGTCGTACGAACCGACTAGGGAACAAACTACGCAGAACAACAGCACTGCAAAGAGATGGAAAACTTGACACGAACCCTATACCAACCGGTCTGGCCAGCTTTTATAGTATCCAAAAATGTCCTTTCTAAGGAGAAGCCTACTGTTGATGATCATGTAGATGATGACCGGTCATATGACTAGTAGACTAGAAATACTCCTATTCTATAAAAGAATAGGAGTATTTCCTCCATTACTTTCCTCAGTAACTGATAAATAAAATGGTTTATTTATCAGTTACTTTTAGTTTTAGTTGCTATAATCATTTATCTTTATATCAGAGCACCCCTACATACACACGTAAACACCCACACACACGCATACGCAGAGATACACATACGCACAGATATACATACACACACACACTCTTATCTGTATTCTTATTATTTAGTTGATACAACAAAATGGCTGAAAATACTGTTTCCTGTAACACAGGTTATACCTACAAAGGCTTTATATAAATGGCTATATTATTATTATTCTTCTTATTTCTTTTATACACATATCAATCATAATATTAAAAAATAAAAAGAAACATATTTAAAAATATAAAAATATGACATAGCCACTTCAGGTGTTGGTCGAGGTTCTTGACTATCAATCCGTGAACCGATACTATTATTGGAACAATGATCGCTGAATCGACATGCCACATATCGACAATCTCGTGAGATAAATCCAAATATTTTATTTGTTTTTCTTTTTCACCTTTGACGAGATTCTCGGTATGAGGAACGACGATATCAACAATCATTGCGCGGCGCTCTAATCGATCTATTAGCACAATATCAGGCTTATTGGCAACAATAGTCCTGTCTGTGATAATAGATCAATCCCAACACAACGTGGCCAGACCATTCTAGAGAACCGCACCGCTAAATTCACAAGTTGGGATTTAAGGGCAAGCTCTCGATGTATGATCCTGGCTACTTGGTTATGCCTGTGCATATATTTAACGTTAGTGACACGAGAACAACCAGAAATAATATGCCTGATTGATTACCTAAGACGGTGGCATGCCCGACAGACGTCAACCGCACCATCTTTCAGGATATACTCGTATTTCCGATAGTTATTTGTCATGATAACTTCATCCATAATCGCACTAACGAAACCTTTAGTTTCCATCACCTACGTACTATAGAACCCTCCGTAAATCACCATACCGTAGTCAAAACGTATTATTATTATTAATTGTTTCAGGTACCGGAGAGATAGCAGAAGGAGCCAACACAGAGTGACATGTAAATAAAAATTTCAATGGACTATAATTATTAAATAATTGTAAATTCCAAAAAATGCCAAGAATTAATTTATTTCTAATATTTAAGATAATTATAGAATTTATAGGTAAACTCTTCCATATCAATTTAATATTTGTAACATATCGAGATTCACGATCCGAAAGACGTTTTTCTATAAAAATGTACAAATCTATGAAATTAATATCATTATTTATTCTATGATGACACAATTGAATGAAGAATCTAATCCAATATCTTAAAGTATATTTTTGTAATTCTCAATAAATGCAACAGATGCTATTATAAATTGCCGGTCGATTTCGATCCTTTTGAAAGTCCGGTTTCATTTAATTGACTAGTATAACTTGATCTGTCTTTGAATGGACCTTTGTATCGTCAAAGGTCATGACATCATCTTTGACTAAATAGCTCATACTATTGAAAACACCTTCTGCACTTGTTTTAGATATTATATAAAATTTAAGTACTTCAAATTTGACAATACTGTCAAAGCGTCAAAGCTTAAAAATCTGTGCAAAGAATCCTCCTCAGACTAATATAGACTTCAAATGTCTATTTTTTTATTGACTTGAAAGAACCTTCTTAGAATTGAATATTTAAATAGCGTAGAAATAGATTTACAAATATACTATCGGTCGCTACAACTGTTTTTACATCATAACCTTATCTTCAATCCATCTCTATATAGTCAAAGTGGTTATGTGTGTCCACAAGTCAAGTATCAGTTCTGCGCTTCGCTCCAGAAACTTTTGAGGCACCTTTTTGCGCTGATTTTGCTAGACATCTATTTTTAATCGACAGAACTTCAACCGAACTCAACGAGTTTATATTTTAATTATTTTCTAATATTATTTGGCGTCTGCGCAATTTGTAATAGTTCAAAGGGTTTTGGCTAGATCGGTTGAATTTCTGAAACCTTCCTGAGAGTGTAATCATTTTCAGACGGGAAGAAGGCCACCTCGGGCAAAGAAAATGGATAGGATAAAAGAGATAGAGTATTGACTGCCGCAAATCTATACTAATATTATAAAGCTGAAGAGTTTGTTTGTTTGTTTGTTTGAACGCGCTAATCTCAGGTACTACTGGTCCGATTTGAAAAATTCTTTCAGTGTTAGATAGCCCATTTATCGAGGAAGGCTATAGGCTATATATCATCACGCTAAGACCAATAGGAGCGGATCACCAATGAAGAATGTTTCAAAAACGGAGAAAATTTATTACTATTGAGAGACGCAGACGAAGTTGCGCGGGTCAGCTAGTGTCTGATAAAACTGAACTGCAGTTCGACCTGGGATTCGAGAGAACAGGCATGTGCGAACAGGGATGTCCGTTGTCTACCCATTCTACATATTTTATATTTATTGTTACTCTTTCGAGTGTTGGCCAAAAACCCCATCCATCAATCCTAACTGACAATTTATGAAGACAACAGCATTAAATTAGTGTTCTCTAAATTTATGTGACTAGGCTTTCATATATAGGACAAAATTTATTAGACGTGGGTTTTAATGAACACATGAATTTTATTTGTTATTGTTTGTTATACAAAAGTGATTTTCTTGTGTTCATATGTTTTGGATAAGGCGTTTCAAATACTTCGATAGAGGACGCTTGCGAGTGTGACACTGTAAACAACTACCACAGTTCTAAACGCTATTTTCTTTCTTATAGAATAATATAAAGATTTAAAAAAACACAGATCGATTTTTTATTTTCATAGTGAGTTTTGTTGAAAATAAGAACAAAGTATTTGACTTGAGGGTTACACACTGGCAGTTCTACCTCAAAAATACGACACAGTGTGAATAGAGCCTTATAGCAGTATTCTATAGAGTGCAGCTTCTAGTTTGACGTTTCCACTTACGTCAGGAATCTTACAAGATATGATATACCACTACGGATACCACCGCTAACCTAATAACATTTGTGTTTTTCTATCACGCTTTATGTGGCTGTCCAAATTGAAATCAAGAATAGAATATATTGGTACAACGCAAGCTTTTAGCAAGTTAAAAGAAAATTCTCGAGAGAGGAGAAAAGCAACGCGAATTTTTGGAATTTCTTAAGTTCTGTAGAAGAAGAGCCAAAAACTAAAGTTTTTAAACAATGTGTGTTATTAATTTAAAAAAAAAACAGGAATACAATTACAATGAGCTTCACGCGTAATTAGTATGCGTCTATACAATGACAATACAAGTTATATTGATGAAACTAAAACAAAGTTAAACCTATCTCTAGGTAGAAGTAATGTTAACGCTGTATTTTTTCGTTTCTTGTTCGTTACAACGCTTACCCTATTACCGTAGATAATATTGCTTGTTAAAGAGTTCCCTAATAGAGCTTAAGTGCGTAAAAGCTACCAAATGCCCAAAATAAATAATATAAAACTGTATTTTCCTGTACTTCAAAAAACTTATTATATTATTATTGAAATGGTGTTTCAATAGCTTTTTCATATTTCAGTTTTTAAATGGAAACTTTTTAGCTTTTAATATTGATTCAGTTTTATTTTTATAATAAAACATAATATGGACCTTCGTATATATTATATGCATATATCTCGTGTAATATGAATAACAGTGAAAACCTTATTTTAAGACATCAATTTTAATCGTCTCCAAGTCACCTGACACGAAAACGTACAAATTAAATAAACACTTTAACCAAAAATAATTGAACATTAGGTTACAACGCGAAAAATTAATATTGTGTTGTAATTAAATGATTCGCTGATTAAAAATATTTAATTTAAATCATTACAACTAACTTTATAAATAATGTTTAAAAACTATAAGTGACTGCAAACGTCATAGTCATACGTCATTCACAGATGAAGTGGCATCAGCTGTCAGCTCTGGCAGCTGTCAGTTGCTGTGTGTCAATCTTGCCTACGTAAGGATACCGGTACTTTACGAAGCTGTCAGTGTAAATGTAATCAAGCTTGGCATAAGCGCCTAGATATTATTGATCAGCATCACTTGTGTCAGCAGTTTCACTTGTAACTATGTAAACAAAATTGTAAGTTAATAAAAACCTAGTTCTAATTGTCGTATCAAATTAAAACTTTTAATGAAAGTTTGGATGACAGTACTATAATTTGCCATCTTGGCCATCTGATGATGATAAGCCAGAAGATGAGTTTTGAGATGATGAGAACTCTGCTGTGATTACTCACTATTAAGCTTAGAGTTTGTGTAGGGTAATTATTTATTTCTTTTTGATTCGACTCGTCATTAAGCGTGTTTTGAAACTAAGTTCCTTATGACACGTTACACGCTCTGAGCAGATGGGAGTAAGACCGAAAAATGTGTAACAAGACTTTTCTCCGACACTTCATTTGGCGCGCCTCCCCTAACATCTTTATAGCAAACGTCTAATAAAAGGCGAAAGGAACTCTGTTCTGACAGGGGGTCCATAAACCCCTCACGTCGTTTTATTTTAAAATACTAAAATATAACTGTATTAGATTTGATATTTGTATAGTATTATTAGTTGAAAAACGCTTTCGAGATCACAATCTCCCTCAAATTATGTATAAAAGAAACTATTGTGAACTATGTGAATAAACGTTGAATTATTAAATAAAGTTACGATTTTTATGTAGTGTGTATTTATTTATACTCTGATACTGATTTAATATCTTACTATTTCAAGCAAAGCAACGGTGGATGGACTTGCTAGCAAAATATCTGGGTTTAAACGTCACCCACTAGTGATATGTACTCCTTTCAATACAGGTATTTCAGTCAAGGTTTAATATAAACGTGCGGCAGCTTATTTAACGGCAGAGGCAACTGCATCCGACGACAGTTGTCTGCGGAAGTCGTGGATTTTCTTTAAGAAATAGAAAACAGTATTTGCATTTTTTATTTTTATCTTCGAACATCAAATTTTTACATGTAATTTTCAACTAAATCTTTAAATCTCTAATTCCCTTGGAAAGGGGTTGTTATAGATCGGCACAGGCATATCATAGATTCTGTATAGGTTTGATTTTAGTTAAATTTATTTGCTCACTATTTGATAAAACAGAGATTGTTGCTTTGTGTGTGTTGATCTATGACTTTAGAGTCTACATAAAAGACAACAAATTTTTTTTTTTTTTTTATAAATAAAGAGTGTTTGAGTTCCTAAAAAAGAGTTTATCATTGATTCAACTCCGCTTTATCTTAAGTCCGTTTTTAAGCTGTGCGATTTATACAAAGAACAAAATTTAGTAGACGCCATATTTAACCTAATTAGGTGAGATATCGCATCTGCTCAAAACAATATTATTCAAGTACATAATTCTGAATCAAAATGAAAAACAATCATAGAAACATGAGAAAATAATTTGTACCTGTGCACTTCGGTGCTCGACAGGCTTTCGAACCAGCAAATAAACTAGTACGAGGGCCCGAGGGACGGGGCGATATGATTGGACGCGAGGCTGCACTGCACGGAAACTTACTTCATATTGTGCACAATACCAGTTCTAGTTTGAATATTATAAGTGTGTATATTTTTGTGAAGAAAAATGATAACTTTAAATTTAAAATAATTATAATAATAATATCCTCACAAATCTTACACGCGAATGTCTGACCCCAAACTTGGCGGAGCCTGTACTATGGTCCAAATATCAAAAAATTTCGGTCACTGGTTTAAAAGCTATAAGCGTTTCTAGGTAGCCAACCTTGGGAGAATCTTCCCAGGTCGGCCACGCTTATATTTCAAAAACTGACCTAGCGAAGATCTGTTTTCTCCCAAATTTAGTCGTAAATTATTCGCATATTGTAGATAGTTTTTTTTTTTTTTTTTATTTAAAACACAACTCCCGCACTAGGAATAAATCCTGTGTCGCGGGGGACTTTACAAACATACATGAAACGGACACAAAGTACACCCAGACTCAGAACAACAATTTGTGGATCACACAAAGTGTTGTTGTGTTCATGTGGGGTTTGAACCCACAACACTCGACGTAATAGGAAGCGGCGTGGCGACCGCTTAAACCACTACGTCATCACTACGCCTATGGGTAATGACTACAGCTTCCTTTTGGTGGGTTCATATTATAGAATATTTTTATATTTATCTATTACTAGCTGACCCTGCAAACGTTGTTTTGCTATTTACGTTATTTAAATTTTTTTATTTTTTATTTCTTAAAATCCCTTCTTAGCTGACCTCTACTCGGTGAAAAGAATATTCCTACCAAATTTCAAGTCTTTAGCTCTAATGGTTCCAGACATATCGTGATGAGTGACTATATACGTGGAAATCTCTTATATATATATAGAATGGCGTCGTATCGGGTCGTAGTCGTGTCGCTGGCGAAATAAACATCTGTCGGTGACGTGTCGTCGTGTAGGTATCGATCGGCATCGGTTTCGTTCTCGCAGGGTCATCCAATGAGAAAACATTAATGTATTTTTTATTGAGAGATAAAATATATACCTAATAGGTATCCAGGTACCTTTCATTAAGTAGGTATTTTCAATATTTCACTTTAAGTACAATAATTTTTGAACTAATAAATCATTTTAAATTGCAAAACATACCTACGTTTTTTTAATTCTAACCTATATATATACCCATAATATTATTCTGAGTTATAGCTATATTATTGAGTTATATATATATTGCCGGAATCGGGATAAAAGGTGCATCTGCCTATATTTTTAATATTTTTCTATGTTGCTTCATAGCACTTTTAGCACAATAAAATAAGGCGCTTATGAATACTTGTTTACACCTTATTGAAGTTGCAAAGACGAATTCATCTAAAACTTAAATGAATAGTTGCATTTACATAAATACTTTATTTACAAAGAGAAGGAAAACTTATATGGGTTAATTAAGTTGAGAAGAGAACTATCGAAGGGACTCTAAATCTATTTTATTGCTTAATATAATCATTAGAGGCTTTAAACGGAAAATATACATTAGGTAAATGTATTTGAGGTTAATGAGTCAGGTGAAACAATTAATAAATAATCTGGCCTGTTGGTCTAGTGGTT